CTGATATGGTGAAGGTAGTACAAGTGTTTAATTTGCTATATGTTTGTTATTTTTCAAAGCATTGACTTGAAACTTTGCATATTTATTGACAGGAACGTTTGAAATATGCATATATACATGTTTTCAACTTGAAATATATTTTTTTCATTTTTTAATGAATTTATTTCAATTTTCATATTTTCAATATGAAAGCATATTGTTTTAGTTAGTGAGCGGAAGGATCATATTTAGCAATATTGGTTCCATTATGGTGAACGTATGTATCACTACAGCACACGTGCCTTGTTCATTACCTAAAATGGCTAATATTCAAGCCTTTTCAAAGGTTTAGAGCTAAGTTTTTGAAGGATTCAGTCCTCATTGAGCACAATGGCACATGTCATATCTGGACTGGAGCAAGCAAGCACAGTGGGTATGGGGTATTGATGTATTTTTGCCCCATAGCCTACCAGTGGCGTACTACTCATGCTCACTGAATTAGTTTCATAGTGCACAGGGAAAACTTTGACATAGGTCGTTATTACATCAGCCATTTGTGCCACAACTGTAAATGCAGCTATGTCGAACACCTGTCTGCTGAACCGCATAGCATCAATGCAGACAGAGTGGCCTGTGTAAACAGGGGTATGTGTCAAAGCCAATGCACCTTTCCTGGATTGCCTTTTGGCATTGAAGTTATAGAAGAACAAAAAAACAAAGGCAAAGTATATGAATAATACTATATCATATAATATAGCAAAATATTATTCAAGTTTCCTGATTTTCACCACAGTGACACTTGGTTGTGACACAGCACTTATTCACAAGACATAGCTTTACAGCAATTACAGCTTACAAGTACACAGTGTCAGTCATTTGCTAGTAATTAGCATGATAGTTTTGCAGCATCACTGCACACTTTCAATATTTTGAATAGGAGTGTTCATGGTTTTTGCTGAAACACGGCACCGAATGTAACTGACCCTTTCTGTAGTCCCCCCTCTGTTTGTCAGTCTGTTCAGACTTCAAATTTTCACAGATTTTGCTTCCATGCATGTATTTTTTCCAGCATAGTACTAGTAGGTACATTCACATGTGTATGAACAGTTCTTCAGCCATTCAACAAAGTTCATGAGATGGACAATGAAAGCAAAGGGAAGTAACTCTATGGCTGTACCAAGTTTGTGTAAAGTTACTATAAAGTTCCAGGCACAATGTTATATAAAGGTAAGTAGCTGTGGCAGTGTGCCTATACTATATAAAATCAGATGTACTTTATCTTATTGGTGTTGGTCAAGAATGGCCCAGTGTTTGCCAAAGAAAGGAAATGAAAGGCTAAATGCCAATAATACATGAAGTCAGATATAATTTATCTTATTGTTTGCGATACAAAGTTCAAGAAAGGAACAGTGTTTGCAAAAGAATTAATAGGCCAATAGTATATAAAGTCGTATGTAATTTGTCTAATTAGAGTTTTACAGGCCTATGTTTGAGAAACAAAAATTAAAGATTGGCACACTGTGTTTTCTAAAAAAAGGAAGTCACTCCCTTGGACCTTGGAAATAAGGTCAAGGTCACTCAAATTGTCTGGTGTCTGCATAATCCCCCAATGTAGGCTGTCACCAAATCTGAACACGTGTGCAACAGTTCATGAGATATCACGTTAACAAGAATCAGGACGTACATACGTACAGATGGACGCTGAGGAATACACAGTTCCCCCCATCCATTGATAACATACGCATGTTGATGTCAAGTTTCATTAACATTTATCATCTTCATCTTCATCTTCATCTTCATACATATAACATGCACATTTTGTTGGTGATTAAAAAGAACAGCAAGCATAAAAGCAAAGTTTCAGTTAACAATTGAATATCAGATCAAATAATCATGAGCTAGAACTTATTGAGATTACAAAGTTACTTGCACCATGTGCAACCTGCTAGAACAGATACAGAAATGATACATGTCCAGGAGATGAAAATGAAACAATCCAACTGTCAAAATACATAAAAACTGCCATTGGAGATGGCAGATACAGTATACTGTATTAATGGGAAACTAAATCCAGAAATATATTTAAGGAATAAGAGCGAGAAAAATGGATGATTTCTTTCAATTCAATATCAAACAATTAAGGGTGAAACATCAACTTGATTGTTATGAATGTAGCAGGCCCTTTAGCTTAACAGGAAATTAAAGAAAATAGTTTTATATCAATATGTATCTCTGTGACATGAATACTAAAATATAAAAAACCACTGGTAAATGTAATCATGTTTGACCCCACACAATTCCCTAATTCCAAATTATTACCAATAATTTAGAATTACAAAATGTATCTTCACTTTATTATATACTATATCATTACTACTGTTTTATATTATCATTTACTTATATTTATATTTCAATAATTTACTTATCCCCACTTATTCCAAATTGGCTTATCTCAAAATCATTACTGTATTTGAAACTGTAACTAAAGAGGATATTTATATCCAGTTTTTACTTGGATGTCCATGTCCATTCAAAATTTTATTCCTAAATATGGCATCCACGTCGGTGACATCAACTTAACAAATGTTAGATAATAAACAGCATGATAAGAGTGCAAGCAGACTACCAAAGCTGACATTCACCTTGCTGTCGCTAGTCAACTGAACAAACAACAAACTGTATTTTTGAATATTGTTTACTTTAAGATGTTGTCTAAACATATCAGAAGAAATAACTGAAAAAGATTCAATAGGTTTTTTTGTAGTATACGAATAAAGAAAATAATCCAGGGTAATTAGCCAAATCTAGTCAATCAGTCAGGGGCTGTGGTATAGCTACTGTGTATATGACATCTTATTTAGCCATCAGATGTGTGATTGAATGTTTTCATCTTATGGTGACATGTTTTGTACAGATGAAGAACTAATGCAATGTGTCTTCATGGGAATGGCAGCAGGAGCAGGATGGATTTAGAGATATATGGCGTTGAAACATGTATGCATTCAAATCACTTCACCCAAGTCAGAGGCAAGAATGGACTATTTGGCAAAAATGTGCACCAAAATTTAAGTCAAAACTACTGTGGGTTTGATGTTTGTAATAACTTGTTCTTTCCTTCCCTCCCCCACCCCGCTTTGATATAAGAGCAAGGGTGGGGAAGAAGTAGCCTAGCTCGGCCCGAATCTCCCCCTTTTGATATAAGAGCAATGGTGGGGAAGAAGTAGCCTAGCTCGGCCCGAATCTCCCCCTTTTGATATAAGAGCAATGGTGGGGAAGAAGTAGCCTAGGTAGACCAGAAACTCCCCATTTTGATATAAGAGCAAGGGTTGGGAAGAAGTGGACTAGTTAGTCCAGAATCTCCCCCCTTTTCATAGAAATCAGAACAAAATATCCTAGTTTAAACAGGGGGGAAACTTTGGCCTAGGGGGGGAACTTTAGCCAAGCCCAAACTTTCCCCAGGGTAAGAATATCCTAGGACAAAACCTCCCTGGAAAAGTTTAGACCGGGGAAGAAATGGCCTGCTACCCATGGGGACAAACTAAATTGTCAGTCCCGACCAGAAGTGATGTCGTTTAGGAAAGAATGTTAGTACTCTCAACAAAGGCAAAAATAATACTTAAACACAATATGTATACAGATACTTCATTTTAATCTTTATTAATCATCAACATTAGTGTAAAATGAGTTTGGCACACATAACTAAATCAAATCGCATGTTTAGCAGTCATTGATGAACAGGAATGATACCAAATGTACAGTAGAAAGTACACATTTTAACACGAAGGTAGTAGAAAGTACACATTTTCACATGTATACAGTAGAATGTACACATTTTTACATGAAGGTAGTAGAAAGTACACATTTTAACATGAAGGCAGTAGAAAGTACACATTTTAACACGAAGGTAGTAGAAAGTACACATTTTCACATGTATACAGTAGAAAGTACACATTTTCACATGTATACAGTAGAAAGTACACATTTTAACATGAAGGCAGTAGAAAGTACACATTTTCACTTGTATACAGTAGAAAGTACACATTTTCACATGTATACAGTAGAAAGTACACATTTTAACATGAAGGCAGTAGAAAGTACACATTTTAACATGAAGGCAGTAGAAAGTACACATTTTCACTTGTATACAGTAGAAAGTACACATTTTAACATGAAGGCAGTAGAAAGTACACATTTTCACATGTATACAGTAGAAAGTACACATGTATACAGTATAAAGTACACATTTTCACATGTAGAAGTAGAAAGAAAGTACATTTTCACATGTATACAGTAGAAAGTACACATTTTCACATGTATACAGTAGAAAGTACACATTTTAACATGAAGGCAGTAGAAAGTACACATTTTAACATGAAGGCAGTAGAAAGTACACATTTTCACTTGTATACAGTAGAAAGTACACATTTTAACATGAAGGCAGTAGAAAGTACACATTTTCACATGTATACAGTAGAAAGTACACATTTTAACATGAAGGCAGTAGAAAGTACACATTTTAACATGAAGGCAGTAGAAAGTACACATTTTCACTTGTATACAGTAGAAAGTACACATTTTAACATGAAGGCAGTAGAAAGTACAAATTTTCACTTGTATACAGTAGAAAGTACACATTTTCACATGTATACAGTAGAAAGTACACATTTTAACATGAAGGCAGTAGAAAGTACACATTTTCACTTGTATACAGTAGAAAGTACACATTTTCACATGTATACAGTAGAAAGTACACATTTTAACATGAAGGCAGTAGAAAGTACACATTTTAACATGAAGGCAGTAGAAAGTACACATTTTCACTTGTATACAGTAGAAAGTACACATTTTAACATGAAGGCAGTAGAAAGTACACATTTTCACATGTATACAGTAGAAAGTACACATTTTAACATGAAGGCAGTAGAAAGTACACATTTTCACATGTATACAGTAGAAAGTACACATTTTAACACAAAGGCAGTAGAAAGTACACATTTTCAAATGTATACAGTAGAATGTACACATTTTTACATGAAGGCAGTAGAAAGTACACATTTTAACATGAAGGCAGTAGAAAGTACACATTTGAACATGAAGGCAGTAGAAAGTACATATTTTAACATGAAGGTAGTAGAAAGTACATATTTTAACACAAAGGCAGTAGAAAGTACACATTTTCACATGAAGGCACTACTGCAAAATGAAAAGGTACATATGATCTTTTCATGATGTAAGCATATGGGTCCTTTTACCAAGCATATGTACCAACAGAACCTGTGATTGTGACCAGACCATTAAGGTGCTACATTAATATGTTAATACAGGTTACAATGAAGGGTTGAACACCCACAACTGTAATGCTCCTATTAAGGAGGGTGGAGTTCCACAGAATCATGCATGCTTCTAATTGGCACCTGGTCCTATTATTCCTCTATTTACACATTTTTTATCAAAACCATGGGGTCAATAGTCAAAAATATTATTTATTAAACATTAAAAGACCCATAACGAAATATACATGCTGCTTTAGTGTCTGCTGACAAATAATCAAATAATAGCATCATGTATAACAGAGTGACCTTTTTAGCAGGTCAAATAATCCAATAATAACCTCCCTTATAACAGAGTGACTTTTTAGCAAGTCATATAATCAAATAATAACATCCCATATAACAGAGTGACCTTTAAGCGGGTTTAATAATCCAATAATAACCTCCCTTATAAAAGAGTGACCATTTTAGCGGATCATATAATCAAATAATAACATACCATATAACAGAGTGGCCTTTTAAGCGGGTTAAATAATCAAATAATATCATCCCTTATAACAGAGTGACTTTTTAGCAGGTCAAATAATCCAATAATAACATCCCATTAAACAGAGTGATGTTTTTAGCAGACATAACAGAAAGAAGCCAAAATGTTCTCAGCATTTTGGCTTTATACATAATTGAGTTGCCATGCCCAAAAGTCTTTGTCTTCATTTCTGTGTTTTCTTAGACTCACATGCAGTGTCAGAAACAAAAATATCCTAAAATTCCAAAGCAAGGCTACAATGCCTTGGCAAGTCTGAGTTTCTTCAGGTTCTGAAATGAGGATATTCTCTTGGCTTCTATCAGACATTTAACATCAGTGTGGGAACTTTTCTGCAGTTGATCTTCCTCAGCCTGTACCATGTTACAAGGCACTTATGAGGCACATATGTGACAAGTTAAACAGCTGCCCTTAAACTGAGTTTGATTCTACCATGCATATCATGTGTAAATCTCTGCACCTTGTTGTCCACTCTCAGCCTACTATTGCTGAAGGTTTTGTGAAACCATACTCTCTCACTCACAAATCATAACTGATTATAATCAGATGTACATCATTCAAACTCATTTGTAAAAATATTAATTTGTACCGACCTAGAAGTCACAGCAGACATTCCACACTGCTACACACACTACAAAGGAATGGGGGCAAATATCACAGTAGTTTGTAAGAAGCTAGTATAAAAGTCACACTGCCATCATCAACATGTGTATAAACATAACAGCAATACATTTCTCAACTCACATATTTGTAGACATATCCATAAACACATCTGTGAAAATATCTGTAAACAATATCTAAGAAACCAGAAAAAACAATTAAATAAATGTTGATTTGACGTCAGATTCATGAAGAAGTTCGTGAACATGATGGTTAATTATAAGATGGGCATCCTTATTGTACTGGAAAACCCCTTGAAACAATGAAGGGTCAAAGAAACAAGTAACTACTCAGGCAGAAAATATCAACAGGAAGGGAACTGAAACCCCCTCAAGCAGCCCTGACATCAGGTGTCATGAAGTTGAGGCATATGTGTCTAGGTGCACCGAAGGCCAATAACACATAATCACACCTAAACAACAACAAAATATGTTCTACATATCTGACAATGTATATTGACATAATGAAGGTTTTCTTGCTGTGACCTTCACCTGACCTGGTCAGCCTGTACAACCAATAAGTCAGGAAATGCATACATCCATACAGTATAGTTCTCCACTTAACCGTCATTAACCATTAAAACAATAAATTAAGAAAAGTGTGCTGATGTTCCTGAATATTCTCTTTAAACTCTTTATACAACTGTAATCATGTTGTTTTTGAAACAAAAAAATCTAATCTAAGGCTGATCATCCTTACAAAACTGACACAAGACATTGCAGAAGAATCCGGGCTACATGACTGAGCAGACTCTGGACTTCTTGTTCTTTCGCTCTAACTCCAACATCTGCTTCTGTAAGGCCTGCAGCTCATTTGTCTTCTCCATCAGCTTCACCATGACTTCTTCCCGGCCTTCTTGAGACTTCTCTTGTTTCTGTGGAGGTAAGTAAGACTGAATAACACAGCAGGGCCTTGTTCTGGAAGAGTTAGGGACAGTTTTGGAAGGGTAGACCGAACAACACAGCAGGGCCTTGTTCTGGAAGAGTTAGGGACAGTTTTTGGAAGGGTGGACCGAACAACACAGCAGGGCCTTGTTCTGGAAGAGTTAGGGACAGTTTTGGAAGGGTAGACCGAACAACACAGCAGGGCCTTGTTCTGGAAGAGTTAGGGAAAGTTTTGGAAGGGTGGACCGAACAACACAGCAGGGCCTTGTTCTGGAAGAGTTAGGGACAGTTTTAGAAGGGTGGACCGAACAACACAGCAGGGCCTTGTTCTGGAAGAGTTAGGGACAGTTTTAGAAGGGTAGACCGAACAACACTTCAGGGCCTTGTTCTGGAAGAGTTAGGGACAGTTTTGGAAGGGTAGCCTGAATATTAACACAGGCCTTTGATCTACAGTGATATTGTGACAGGTGATCTCATGCCACTTTGTCACAGATATGTATTAAAAATACTGACAAGAAGTAGTAAATCTACTCTCATCCCAATCATATTACCCACCATGGTTTTACATCCTTACCATTTATCTCGCATGATCTAATACCATGTCTTTAAATTAGGCATGACCATCACCTGTCTCTCCCAGTGTTGTATTTCCCGGGCTTTCAGCATCTGAATACTGCCATCCCGACGCAGAAAGGCATCACCACGGTACAAGTACAGCTCAGCATGATCATCTGGGTCCTTCACCTTCACCTCTAGGACCTTCAAATTCGCTGCAACACAGATCACATCTAAGATCTGTTCTGACAGTCAGTTCTAGTTGTTACGTAGTGATGATTTAGTGTTCTTGCATTTGATATTTCAAATCCACAACATTACTCTTATTTTCCTGTCCTGCATCATACAAATTTAATTTATTGCAGTTAAAAGTACAGGTATCAAGCTCCACACTGAAAACACAGTATGTTTGTCTCCATTCTACCATGACAAAATTAAACATGCACTCTTTGTCATCAAGTGGATTTGAATGAATTTAATCCCTTGTGACAGAGATTGAAAGAAGAGCAAGCGAGAGCGAAAGAAAAATCATTTTTCTGGCACTCGTTTTGTAAATACAATATGACATCTATGTGTGTGTTAATTTCTTTATTATCCCCTACTCTTCAGAAAGCTTTAATTACAAATAACAGTGTTTCCCCGGCAGTGCCAATGCTGAAGGTGATAGCCGGGAAGTGTATTAATACAAATACAGCAAGGTCAAGGTTGCTGTGCACTGACAGGAACTGTTGTAGGACTAAAAATCTAGCGCCAATTTAAAACAGTCACATTCTGACAAATACAAGTAAAATATGACACAGTGTCAATTTTAATTACCATATAATTCCCTTTCTAATAATAATTTTTAAAATCATTTGTGAAATTTGAATTTCTCATAGTCAGACGGAGGAAACGAGAGTAACTGAAGCTGTAGTAAACACTGTATCCGTAGTAAATAGTTTTAAATGAAAAAAAAGAGTCCTGTATTCCAATGTCACGTGATTGTCTCTACCGGCTAATAAAAAAGGCCTCTTAGGTTTATTACATGTGTGCTACATATTGTAAATTTTACAATAAATTGTATATTTATATACTTATCCTATCTCACGGTATGAACCCCTCTTCTCCTTCTACGACCATGTGTGGAAATGTGCTGTCAGCTAAGTTGAATCAAATCTTCATGGCCTCTGACCCGCCCTGACCTCTGCCCCCACTCCGATATCAGCACCTGTCAATCATCTTCCTAAGCGTGCAGCTCGCTCAGATGATCACATGACCCCCTCTGCCTGTCATTCTTGTCTTGGAGCTTCCAGTAATCTGTGATGTTGGGCAGGTCGGGTGCGTATATATCGTGTGAGATAGGATAAATATACAATTTATTGTAAAATTTACAAATTTTTAAACTTATCCTATCTCACGGTATGCATAATCCCACGGTTGGTAGGCGGGTCGCAGATTACCCCGTTACTACTACAACCACGGGAAAATGCATAACCCAAGGAGGCCAGGAGAAAGCACCTACTCCCGATTTGCAAACTCCAAACTTGGGATGGGTTTCTTCATTAACCCCTTGGCTTACACAGCACCAAAAAACTCTAGGGAGTGGGCGCTCCCGAATTAATGTGGTTTTCAGCCGCAACTTTTCACAAGCAAAAGGACGTAGTTTGGCAAGTAGGCCCTGCCGCTCCACGATTTATCAGGTGACTCCAGACATTAAAATCGAGGACCTTAACCCGGTCAGTCCCTGCTTCGAAACTACCCCCAACAGACACGCTGGAAGGCAGTGAAAGAGGGAATAGCTCGGTTGCTCAACTAGTTTAACGTTCAATCTCCCTAACGTACCAAAAGTGAGAAAGAACTAAGGAGCGAAACGCTCCGAAAACTACGCAGGTAATCGTAAATCAACACTTACTGACGTAATTGCTCAAAGAGTAGAGGTCAGTAGGTGGAATAGCGACCATCTCTGCATGTTGCACAAGACTTGCCTCACAGTCTAACTAGTCATAGGTATGACAGTACAAACACGCCCTAGTTCCCTAGGTGAGAAGGGCCTAAGCCCAAAGTAAAAAAGTACCAAGATATGGATAACATTGATATCTTTTATTATGTACAGAGCAAAACCGACCGTAGAAGGATTGCTTTATCTGCGAAAGACAACTGCTGTGCCAGGACCAAGGGGCCGAATTGATGTAGGCCTTCCACGTCTGTCACCGAGAGGTCCCTCAGGTAGTGTGAAGCAAACACCGTGTCGGATCTCCCAAAACAGCCCTCCATGATGGACTGAAGGGAACAATTCCTGTGAAGAGCCATGGTAGACGCAAGGGCTCGAGTCTCATGAGGCTTAGCCGTTGATGGTGGAGGTAGGTCAGCAACGGCATAGGCACGCAGGATCGTAGTTCGCATCCAAAACTCCAAGGTATAACGGGACACTTCCGAGGTGGAGGCAGTAGATATTGGAATGAACAATCTCTTACGCAGTCTGCGGCAATCCTGCGAGGCAGCTAGGTAATTCCTTAATGCCCGCACCGGGCATAAGGAAAGATCTTCAGTGTCTTCTGGGCCCTAGATAGTAGACAACGGTGGTATCGTAAAAGTGTGATCCGGCTGTCCTGGTAACTGATTTTTGGCAAGAAAATCCCACCGCAAACCAAGGAAAACTTTCACATGTCTAGACCTTTCAAACCGTACTCGAGAAACATCAAGAGCATGCAACTCGGAGATACGAGCAGCTGTAGCCAAGGCCAAGAGAAAGAAGGTCTTAAAGGAGACATGTTCGAAATCTTTCTCCTCCAGAGGTTCATATTCAGCTGACGTGAGATGAGCAAGTACAACGGATAGATCCCAAGCTGGAGGCCGGAACTTCCGGGATTGGTCAGCCAATTTGAAAGACCTTAGGAGAGACTGGAGTTCAGGGACAGTGGAAATCTTCACATCTGAGGCTGTTGCAATAACTGTGTTAAGAGCAGCCAGATAGGTAGACAATGTAGAACCTTTAAGTTTCCTGGAGGTTCGGAGATGCTGAAGATATTCTGCCACCATCTGCGGGGATGCACTAGTGGGGGATGAGATGCCCTTCTTCCTGCAGTATGCTTTCGAAACTTTTCCACTTGTCATCGTAGAGTGACCTTGTAGAAGTACGATACGCTATTGTAATGGCAGTAGCAACCCGCTTCGAATAACCTTTAGCCATTAACGAATGAAGATGCGTCAAACGTGCAGATGGAGCGTCAACGGGGACCAATGTAGTTGGTCGGAGTGTGGATGAACCAGTAGATCGAGTCAATCGGGAAGCGGCACAGGATCTGGTTCAACTAGGTCTTGAAGATTTACGAACCAACTTCTGGCCGGGCAGTAGGGCGCGACCAAAAGCAGAGTCATCCTCCGAAGTTGCGCGCAGTTTCACTAGAATGCGAGGAAGAAGGGCCATTGGCAGAAACGCGTAAGGGTTCAAGTCTTCCCACGGGATGGCTGGAGCATCGAGGTCCCAAGCCAGAGGGTCCGGTATTGGTGACACAAACTGAGGCAGCTGATGATTGAACCTCATGGCGAAGAGGTCTACTGTCAGAGACGTCATTGGAAGGCAGAAGGTCTGAAACACCTGAGGATGTAATTTCAAATATGTTGGAGAGGGATGACTCAGACGAGACAGAGCATCTGCGATGACATTCTTCTTGTTGGCTCGTACCATGATGTTGAGAGAGTCCACCAGATCGAAGAACTGTTGAGTCCACTGTAGCAGTTGTGGAGACCCTGTTGCCCCATTCTGTTGATCTGCCAAACCACTGCTGCGCTGTCCAATCTGACCATGAGGGACGTTGCTCGTAAGACATCCTGCCAGTGACTGATTGCCAGAATCACCGCCCTGAGAAGATGAGCTCCCCACCCGTGTTGAGACGCATCCACATACAGATGCTGAGACGGAACAAATGGCTCTAAACAGACTGCGGCGCAAACTTTCAATTCTTCCATCCAAAACTGAAGATGAGGATGGAGCTCCATAGGTAGAGGGATCAGAGCACCGGGATCTCCCACTCTGATGTAAGGTGCCAGAAATAGCTGTACGGGACGGAGTTGTAGTTGACCCCTGAGGGTCAATGCCTGAGCCGACGTCAAGAGGCCCAGGAGCTCCTGCCATTGACGAAGCGTCCTGGGTTGCGCTAGTGCTAGGGAAACCAACTGCTGTATCTTGCAGAAACGATCCCTCGGAGTAAACAGTTTGTTGACTTCTGTGTCGAACACTGCTCCGAAGAATTGAAGTCGGCGCATTGGGACTAGTTCCAATTTCTGCAGATTGATTAACCAGCCTAATTGGCGAAGAAGCTGTATCGCAAACTGCATGTGACGAAGCAGAAGGGCATGATCGTTCTGTGCCTGAATGCAGTCGTCGATGTAAGCTTCGAACACTATCCCCTTGCGGTGGAGGAAACTGGCGATAGACCACGGGGCCGAAGAAATTCCAAACGGGAGAACACGCCACTGATAGTGGAAACCCTCGAAGAAACTGAAGGAACTTACGATGGGCCGGGAAGATCAGGATGTGGAGGTACGAATCCTGCAGATCCAAACTGACCATGTAGTCTCGCGGCTTGATAATAGTCTTGAGGAGTGCCACCGATACCATTTGAAAATGTGGCGGAGGCTGCAGAAATCTCTCGTTGAATGTCTTCATGTTGAAGATTAACCTCAGTTTGTCCGAATCCTTCTTGGGCACCAGAAAATTGGAGAATAGAGCCCCGGTCGGTCGGGGCCCGACCCAGGGATTCGATCGCAAGTTTCTTGAATAAGGTGTCTATTGTTGATCGAAGAACAGTCGACTGTTGTGCGGGATACGTTCTGCGATCCGGGAGTAAAGTGAGAGGAGGATTCCCGATGACTGGCAGCTGGAACCCCTTGGCTAACATGGACCGGCCGTAAGGGTCTCCCTAGATTGTCCAGTTGGGAGCATAAGTCCCAAGCCGGCCTCCTACTGGGGAAGTCTGAATGGGCATGACTGGAGGTGGAAGATACCAGCCATCTTGCAATGTCATCAAGTCATTGTTTGTCAGGTTTATGCGATGTGGGCTGGTCGGCAGTGGAAGCTGGTCATGGAGCAGTGGAAGTCCTTCGCTGACAACTGGATCGTCCTCTTCCATAGGCACCCTTTCCACGAAAGGAAGCTGTAGAACTCGATCGAAGGTCCGGATTGACAGGAACATACCAGGCTGTCGTCGCTGTCGCATCAATTCTTCCACCTGCAACCGCTGGAACTTTAATAATTCCACTGAGACTTGTAAATGAGCTTCTTGACCCGGCCTGTTAGCGACCTCTCTAATCGCCCCGTTGAAAAGAGACTTGCCAGACCATGGTTGACGAAACAGATCCGTTCTAAATCTGTCCTCCCATGAGGATAAGTGTAAAGGTCCTTTGCGACGCATACCCGTGACATACGAAAAGAAGTGAGCCAGCTGATCCAATATGGTTTGGAATTGTTCTTGCAATAAAACAATAGCTGCTCGAATGTACGCTTGCTGATGGGACGTAGCGTGTGCAACTGACATAGCCACCGCTTCGGTAGTCGTCAACACCATGTTGAGTGGAGCCATAATCTTCCTTATGGTACCATCTAAATGTAGAAGCTCCCGATCTTCGACCAGGAAGTGCGAGTAGGCCTTCGCTTAGTTCCCAGCAACATGATATCATCATCCACTGGAGGGGGAACGATGGTCGATGAAAAGCCATGTACATGAGCAGATGCTAAATTGAAGCGAGGAGCCGCAAAGCCATCTTTAATCTTCCTCAAGTTACCGAAAGCCTCATCCAGAGACGCTGCTAATTGAGTGGCACACAGTCGAGGAGGGTACGTGATGGAGCCAAAGTCACCTGGCTTCATATCAAAACTGGATAATAAATCCATCGCCGAAGTACTGCGCTGTAGACGGAGGTTATCAGCAATCCAGACAAGTAGTTGAGGTGTGTCAACAGCATCCTCGCTAGCATCCGAGGGAGACGTACCCTCCGAAGAAATGGATGCTGAATCTCCTCTACAGGTAGAACTAGAGTAGTCGCAGGTTTCGCAGGTGAGAATACTGGTGCCTGATGCCGTAATGCTGACGCTACCGCCAACACAAAGGCATCAAAGTCCATAGGCTGAGAAGTCGCCCCATCAGACACTGGATTCCAGGATACCGGCAAACAGGTCTCGCCATCGATACCATTGTAGAAGGGACAGATGAAACCGTAGTAGACCCCGAGGAATGAAGAGGCACCTCATGCCGAGTGGATGAACATTCAGCCGATTGAGACATGCCCCCATGAGATAACGATGAAGATGTAGGATCCCGAGCGTGGAATTCCAAAGCTGGACTGAGTGGGCCTAGCGCTGAACTTGACACCTGGGCAGTAAGCGCTGAACCCTGATGAAACATTGAACCATGAGACAACACTGTAGGCAGTGAGCTGTGAGGAAGCACCGAACCAGAGACACCATAAGTAAGCACTGAACTGGGAGTACCATAAGTGAGCGTTGAACCAGGAACCCCGGAAGAAACGTTGCACCGGTAATACTGTGAGTAAGCGCCGAACCAAAGCCAATATGAGTAAGCACCGAACTGGGAGCACCAGGAGGGCGTCGAACCAGGGATACCAGGAGGAAGCGCCAAACTGGGAGGAAGAGCCGAACCAGGAACACCGGGAGCAAGCGCCGAACCAGGAGGAAGCGCCGAACCAGGAACACCGGGAGTAAGCGCCGAACCGGGAGGAAGCGTCGAACCTGGAGGAAACGCTGAACCGGTAATAAGCGTTGAATCAGAAACCCTGGTATGAAGCGCCTAACCAGTAACTCCGGGAGGAAGTGCCGAACCGGTATTAAACAAGAGCTCCGAACTGGAAGTAAGTGGCGCTCTGAGCAAACACGTGGGATCAGTGACAAGCGGCGCTCTCCCTGTAGGTAACTGTCTTTATTACCAACGTGGTCCACATATGGGTAATTGCATACTAATCTTGTACGTCACACGAGTGTCGTATCGCGTTGACCTGTGTCGTAACGACATGACCTGAGATTCGAACGATTTGATTGGATAACCGATGACCTCTCAATTAGGTCATGTTGTGATGGAACTACTTGTTCATTCATAACAAACACGTGAATTTATTCATTCTACAACTTAGATGCATTGTGGGAATGTAAACATTGAGAACGTTGCCGCGTCACTGTTTCATTGTGAGTCGAACTGAGACATTATATGCGTTGAAAAACATAAACGCAATGTTCCCAACAGTGATGTTAGCCGAGTGAAGCAGTTGCAAACCAAGAAACGGGGTGCTACGGAGTAGTTTACTGAAGGAGGCTGTACGAGAGGCGATGACAACTGACATGCATCGTGACGTCGGTTACCAAGGGGACAGACGAGAAATGGCGTAGTGACGTCATTACAGTGTGACGTCATGCAAAAGTGTACGTCAGAACAAAATTCTTCCGCAACCTCTTTATGAAACCGGTTTCGGTTTGAAACCACAACAATACCAAAACTACGCTATTTTGTCAATTTAATGCATGTAAGACGTGGGTAATAAATAAAATACCACACTTGGTCTCATTACATACGAATTATACCAAACTCGTGACCTTCCTATGGTTTCTGACCTCACTTTTGCTTGGTCAGATACCATAGGAAGGACACTCGTTTTGTATAATTCGTATGTAATGAGACCTCGTGTAGTATTCTCTATTGGTGTAAGTGTCGCTTCAGAAGTAAGCGGCGCACTGGTAGAAAGCGCCGCACTGTAAGTAAGCGTCACTTGTGATGTAATGTTAGGAATCACACTAAACGCCGCATGAGTAGTTCCCGCCTCCGAAACGTAAGGGTGCTGAGGAACATTCACCACCAAAGACGGCCAGGGTTGAATACCAGACGTTTATAACACAACAAATTCTTGGTGGTGAAGAATCTTCTAGTGTAATGGGGCTAGAAGACTGCGGACGAAATAGTTGACGCAAATTTTCACTGAGGTAGGAATCAGACGCCTCGGCTAGGAAATCTTCATTAGGAGACTTGGACCTGCAGATTTCACACGGCGGTCTAACTTTTCGATTCAGATGGACCCTCAGATGGATTTCAATGATCTCTGTCAGACTTGGGTCTACAAGCTACCCAGCGATATTCAGAGAACGCATCGTCGTCAAGGTTTGCACACAAATTGCAACGTCTAGACCATTCACACTGGCCTAAACAGTCAACACATAGGTTATGAGGGTCTGCTGCCGAGAAATTACTGTTGCAATTATCGCAATGTTTGCGTTTTTTGGAACCATAACGATTCGATTTTCCCATTGTAGAAACACAATCAAGCTCTCTTATAGCCAAAGACACGTCCACACAACGTAGCGACAAGAAAGAGAATGACAGGCAGAGGTGGTCATGTGATCATCTGAGCGAGCTGCACGCTTAGGAAGATGAATGACAGGTGCTGCTATCGGAGTGGGGCCAGAGGTCAGGGTGGGTCAGAGGCCATGAAGATTTTTTATTTTTATATTTTTTTATTATTATTATTATTTATTTTTTTTCATGGTCAGAGGCCATGAAGATTTGATTCAACTTAGCTGACAGCATGTTTCCACACATGGTCGTAGAAGAAGAGGGTGCATACCGTCAGATAGGATAAGTTTAAAAATTCGAAAATATGTCATCACTTATTTTAACACATATGGATAACAAATTGTTGTTAGCCTTCAAGTTTATTTCTACACCACATCACTGTTATGATGTCATACCGCTTACTGACATCACAGACCACTACTAAAAGGCACCAAATTTCAAGCTCTCTGTCACCCAAAACTCTCTTACTCAATTTCTCTCATGCTGGCTGACAAACATGCATTGATAGACATATTCTAAAGACGTTAATTGTTGTTGTTTGTTGCTTCACGTTGCACTCAGCAACATTCCAGTTATATACCAGCAGTCTAAATAATCTAGACCAGACTATCCAGTGATCAACATCATGAGCACCAATCAATGCAAATGGGATATGATGATATGTGTCAACCAAGTCAGCAAGCCTGCCCACCCGATATTGTCAGTTTTGCGACATGCATGGGTTGTAGAAGACCAATTCTAACAAGGATCATCATTGTAAGTTATCTCATTTCAAAATGCCTCAAGACAATGACTGTGAAAGAAATAGTTTTTACTAAATAATAGCACCTGCAGTGTTCCAGATGTAAAATCAGCTGTTTACATCAGAGGTGGTTATGACGATTTGTAACCTCTGATGGACCAATCAGAATCAGAAGGCAGAGGTGGGATTTTAGATATTCATCCATCAAGGGTATGGATGTATAATACACAATTAATAACAAAAAATGTTTTCACAAAACATGTGAAAGACATGCTGAGGGGACATTGCACCTATTCAATCAAAATAATATTAGCCCGTCATTCTCAGTATCACTAAACTAAGGTCTCAGTCAGGGCATTCCATCCCAGTTCTCTCAAGAACCTTTCTTCCAGTCAATCAGAGTGTTGCTTACTAGATTAAGTAAGTGACAGAATGTGTTTACTATTCATGCAACCTCAAAATGGTTAATTCAGTGTATTCTGAATGGCCATCAAACTCTTCATCTATCACTTGCTTCAGTGGGATAAACAATGGAAATGGAAGAGACATTACCTCTGGTATGCACTGCCACACAATCTAGGCTATGTATTAGACATGCTAACATTTTCTACTGATCGGATTGAAACTTCTAAAGCATAGTCTGGAATGGAAGTTATCAGTCTTAACTACTGCTTGACAAACCTGCTTTCTGATCAGTCAATGTCGACTTCCTGTCAGTCAAAATTTAAGTTCTGACGTGACCTGTAATAGGATATCCTCAGATCTTTGCTAAGAGGTATTGAGAACTGAGATATGAGTTAAATTAGAATGACTATTTAGCATGTCCAAGATTAGTAGTGTCATTTTTCCTGTGTTGTCTGTAGCACAATCTGGTGTTGTAACATCGTAACAAACATTCAGCTGTTCAAAATTTCAAATTACATTTAAAACATTCTCTCATGTATTTTATATGTTTTAGCATTCCATACACAGGTGGGCAAACTGACTCACAGGAGAAAGAGTTGGCTTCATCCAGGACTGGTACAAAGTCGACAGTGTACAGGTTGGGTAGCAATGTTGGACTTATGGACTTGATGGCATGATCTATGGACAGTCGGTGTTTGTCCTCATCTTGCTGGTCGCACACAACACCAACTACATAGCCTGTGGACAATAACATCACATGAGCACAACACAACCACATTTTGGCCTTAATAAATGATATTTTCAATATGGCCGTATGGGCAGCTATGTCTAAAACATCACCCAGTTGTTTCAAACAAGTCAAAGATGCACAATTTTATGACAGAGACATTAACCAATGTTTAGATATTGCTATTTTATCTGTTAACAAAATGCCAACTGCCAAAAGAAAATATTAAAATATTTGACTGTCGTGAAAACATACATTTTCCTTGTTTCTAATGTCCTTGAAGATTCACCTACCATCATTGTCTACACCGATGAACAATGTCCCACCATTCGAGTTGAGAAAGCCACATACATACTTCCCTATATTGTCCTGTAACAGGTATTTGCGTTCACTTGCAACAAACCCTCCCTGTTTGAACTCAGCAGTCCGAGTCTCATTGCCTAAAGTTTCCCGGTAATGATAGAAACGCTTAGGTGCATTGGGACCCAGTCCACTGACTGATGTAGCCATGGACACCTGAACACTTTCAAGGGGTGGTAAGACTGGTTTTGATGTTTGTGTCGCCAGACCCGTGGTTGATGTCTGTGCATGATTGCCCTGATGAGTCGGACTTGAGAACGGAAGTTTCTTAACCTTATCAGCCAATGAGAACTGTGGTTCAGTGCCATTGTCAGCACCATTGTTACTGCGGTCAACTATTCTTTGTGGGGACTGTTTTGGTGGTTTCTTGTAGTCAACCTTGAGACGCTTGTTTGGGTCTTGTATTGAAGTGAAGTCAAAATTGACATCTGCTCTGTTAGTCTCGGAACTCAAGCGATGAAGAACGTACTTCACTGTTTCAACATGTTGCAGATCAACAAATGCATAGCAGTAGTCTGATTTCTTGCTGTTGATGACTGTTATATGGCGTCTTCTGATGTCAAGGTTGAGGCATTTGAACAGGAGGGTTAGGTAACCTTTCAGCTTTCGAGCAACCAGATCTCTCTTTAACCCTCCGACAAAAATACATGTGTCATCATTGTCAAATATCAAGGACATGGCCAGCAACCTGAAGTAAGAGACAACTATCAGTACATGATAAACAAGACCAAATATCATGTTCTCTATAGAATGTCAACATTTTTCTAGAGGAAACTTTGGATTCATAACCAATAACATGATACATCCAGATTACTTGAAGTTCAGATATTGTTTTTAAAGTGCCCAGCATAAACTTAAATCATTGTCTAATTTTTCTGGGCTTGGGATTCCCATAATTTACACACCCGTCTGAGACAAGTAAAGTTTGGATGTGTATATACACTTAATAAACCCCACAATTCTGCGGGAACAAAGAAAAGTAAAGACATCATGGGCTGTTTGAAAACAAAATTTGTATACTTACTACTTAGCCTGCAATATATTCACGTTTCTTAAGAATGAAGATACATGTGTGCTGAAAAACAAGTTGTCGTTCTAATAATTCATGCATTTCCAAGAATATGTAGGACATATCAGGAATATACCCTTGTGTCATGTAAGTTCGATCACTTAAGAACTGTCGCTAAATTTTCAAAGTTATATTCATATAATCTTTTTTTTCAAATATCTTACCTCTAAACTTGTTTATTTATGTCAAACATTTCCAAAATCCAGGTATTTTTACTGTTTTTCACAATCGCGGCATGGTCGCCCTCTCACTGTCAACACAAGTGACCCAGAAAGCTACGTCACATAAGTTCGATCATATGATTGGCTGGCTTGTCGCGTAAACAGGATGACTTGTAAGGACGATCTCTTGTGTCAAATTCAGAGCTAGAGCAGTCCCAAGTAATTTTTATGGTATTTATGTCCATGAAACGTTCATTTTATGTTTCAATACTTCTAAAAACGATGAAAAGTCACAAATATTCAGCTTATATACAAGTATTATGCTGGGAATTATTCTTCAGGCACATCGTGACGGGCATCAAACCTCAGATTGTAGACAAATACCACGAACTGGCTTGCAGAAACGTAAATGTGTTCTGTGCTGACATGTAGGGTGGGTACATTGTGCCAAGGTAGTATTTATCAATGAGGCAATAGCTCGAACTTCATCAGGTACAAATTCACGGAAATTCGCAAGAAGCATTAAGTTTTCTATAAGAAATGGCCATTACTTGTTTCCAAAGTTTTAAATTTTGACAAGGATATCGGTCACAATTAGACCAGCAACGTAAACAAACAGAAGACAGGGGTGCTGTCAATTTACAACGTGTGAAATTTATAGTTCACATTTTATTTGAGCTGATAAAGTTACATTATTGATCTAGTGTTAAAAAGAAGTTGTTTGCTGAAAATGAGCTATAACTTACATTTGGTAACTTGACACGAAACATTTTCCGGTCCAAACGAATGAAAGTGGTGTCACCAGAAGATCAAAGCTGCAGATATCGTAAGTTATCGCTACGTATTGCGACAATTACCATTCAAAATGGGCGATCGAAGTTACATGACGATCGAACTTGTGTGACTTGACGATACATATCCAGGAAACGTGAAGGAAGTTTCAGTAACCACACAAGCCTAGTTCCATGTGAGAAAATGCTCTTTTCCGGAATCAAAAGGTGATTTACAAACTCCAAAGAAAAAGATCACCAGATCTCCCTGGTATATTCTGGGAATTGCATAAATTATTAGATTGGCAACTCGCTGTTCAGTATATTGTTTATACATACGTCTTTGCTTCACGTCAACAAACATAACGACCTTTTTCCGACAGCCGGCAACACACTGGGTTTATCTAAAAGTAGGAATTTCAAAAGCGAACAGGGAATGTAATTCCCTAAACCCAATCTGAGGTAATCTCTCGTCGTTTCGGAAAGAAACATATTTCAGGCATAAAGGGCACAGTCTTAACATTTTATTTTCCTGAAACCGCGCTGATCGAGACTAGTCAAATATTATATAGATATGCATGGTTGTATTGTTTATATTTCTTTCCAGAAAAATATTCGCTAAATGGCCTCTGAGCACAAAATACCGGTTAGCGAGTTTTTGTCCAAATATAATAGAATGTATTTCTTCATTTGCAACAAGCTTGTCATAAAGGTCACATGCAACGTAAAACACAACTTTGCAGATTCTGATACCTTTCGGTATGGACTTACCGAAACAAATCATCAAAAATGCAAATTCAACTTATAAAGTTGAAAAATAACGCGATGCAAAAAACTGCGCGAAATCGGAGTTCAAACGATTCACTAATTTTCCCCCGACTTTCCGGGGGAAAACTGGTTTCAACAGCTGGGCTGCGCTCATAGCACGTGCGCAGTGAAATAGGTTCGCGCAACTTGGAAGCGGGCTGTCTGGTGAATACTCGGTGAAGGATTTGGTGTGAGCTATTTTCATAATGTTTTGTTGATATCTCACAGGCGCGAGCTTTTTATATGTTATGACAGTAAATAAACTGTTTATATAATTTCATTTGTCTATTTCACCAGGGATACTCTACAACAGGGATAGGTCACTCGCTTGCTTTCTTTACCATTTGTACTAATTAACGTGTGCCTCGTCATGCTCCAACGCACACAGTGACTTGGTTCGGTCCCAGCGCAACTTCGGCTGCGTTTAACAGTACTTCAGCCAGTGTATTGTATCAGTCGGAATTTTACAATGAATGAATGAATGAATTAAGAGCAAGAATTTTATGTGAATGAATGAAAGAAATTAAGAAAAAGAACAAAAGAAAAAGAACATATGTGAATGAATGAAAGAATAAATGATACACCACGGCCATCCCTCCCCAAACATGTTAAAGAACGCTAAACTGTCGGTAGAACACAAATGTTAACATCAGCTGTCCTTTTCCAAAAAAAATGATGATGAGTTTTCACGTGTTTCTTTAATTGTATCTGAACAAACTGAAAGACATATCCAACTTCTAAAAATGCCACTCAAAGAAATATTTCCTCATCGTTATAATTTAGTGCTGAAATATTGCTAAAAGCGGCGTAAAACTAAACTCACTAATTCACAGTGTTGAAATAGCTCCGGAGAACATATTAATCAATCAAACTTGCCCCAGTATGTCTAGTGAATGTAAAATCACCCACACCCTGATCACCCTCACATCTTCCATTCATTATATATATCAGGGATACTCTACAACAGGGATAGGTCACTCGCTTGCTTTCTTTACCATTTGTACTAATTAACGTGTGCCTCGTCATGCTCCAACGCACACAGTGACTTGGTTCGGTCCCAGCGCAACTTCGGCTGCGTTTAACAGTACTTCAGCCAGTGTATTGTATTAGTCGGAATTTTACAATGAATGAATGAATGAATGAATGAATGAATGAATTAAGAGCAAGAATTTTATGTGAATGAATGAAAGAAATTAAGAAATAGAACTGTCGGTAGAACACAAATGTTAACATCAGCTGTCCTTTTCCAAAAAAAATGATGATGAGTTTTCACGTGTTTCTTTAATTGTATCTGAACAAACTGAAAGACATATCCAACTTCTAAAAATGCCACTCAAAGAAATATTTCCTCATCGTTATAATTTAGTGCTGAAATATTGCTAAAAGCGGCGTAAAACTAAACTCACTAATTCACAGTGTTGAAATAGCTCCGGAGAACATATTAATCAATCAAACTTGCCCCAGTATGTCTAGTGAATGTAAAATCACCCACACCCTGATCACCCTCACATCTTCCATTCATTATATATATCAGGGATACTCTACAACAGGGATAGGTCACTCGCTTGCTTTCTTTACCATTTGTACTAATTAACGTGTGCCTCGTCATGCTCCAACGCACACAGTGACTTGGTTCGGTCCCAGCGCAACTTCGGCTGCGTTTAACAGTACTTCAGCCAGTGTATTGTATTAGTCGGAATTTTACAATGAATGAATGAATGAATGAATGAATGAATGAATTAAGAGCAAGAATTTTATGTGAATGAATGAAAGAAATTAAGAAAAAGAACAAAAGAAAAAGAACATATGTGAATGAATGAAAGAATAAATGATACACCACGGCCATCCCTCCCCAAACATGTTAAAGAACGCTAAACTATCGGTAGAACACAAATGTTAACATCAGCTGTCCTTTTTCAAAATTACTTTGAGACATGTTTTACATTAGTAACTAATTCAGATATCTTATTGCATGTGTGAATGACATGGGCATTGACAGAATGTTAACTGACACTGTCACAGACCCCTCAAGAACAGAAAGTTTAGAACTATCACAAAGCGTTGTAAACACCTTCCAGTTTGTCAAATACTAAGATCAACAAGAAAGAAAGAAGTTTTAGAACTATAACACTCAAGCATCACAAGCACCAATGGCGATATGTCATATTTTTCACACACCTCAAATACACACTAACAAAAAAAAAAAAAAAAGTATCAATGTTACTTGCAAAAACCTTTCACCTGATGGTATATTCCCCTCATAAAAATTGAAGGTGTATGTGAAAGATGTTTTAGAACAATAACTAGAAACACTCAAACAACGCCCTGTAGTATTTCAATGGCAGATCGGCGATATGTCATATTTTTCACACACCTCAAATACACACTAACAATTTTTTTTAAATTATAAAACTATCACTATTACTTGCAAACACCTTTCACGTGATGGTATATTCCCCTCATAAAAATTAAAGGTATATGTGAAAGATGTTTTTGAACACTAACTAGAAACACTCAAACAACGCCCTGTAGTATTTCAATGGCAGATCGGCGATATGTCATATTTTTCACACACCTCAAATACACACTAACAATTTTTTTATATTATAAAACTATTACTATTACTTGCAAACACCTTTCACCTGATGGTATATTCCCCTCATAAAAATTGAAGGTGTATGTGAAAGATGTTTTTGAACACTAACTAGAAACACTCAAACAACGCCCTGTAGTATTTCAATGGCAGATCGGCGATATGTCATATTTTTCACACACCTCAAATACACCCTAGCAAATTTTTTTAGTTATAAAACTATCACTATTACTTGCAAACACCTTTCAACTAAAGGTATATTTCCTTCTAAAAAATTAAACGAATATGTGAAAGAAGTTTTTAGCGATATAAGTTAAGGTCTTTTTCTTCGCTGTGTCTTGAGAATTGAAGCCAGTGAGCTACAACATGCCCACTTGAAACTTTACTACAAAGCTACTGTACTTATACTGACACTAATAACAATTATTTGACTTGAAATGAAGTGACAGAATAGGTAACTTATCTTCTACATGTAGGTTTTCAGTTGTCACAACACTCAGCGTATGTAATCAGCTGTTGAAAATAAACCGGGCTCAATCTTAAAAACCACGCTGCCGCCATATTGGCTACACTGGTCACGTGACGAGCCGAGGCATAGCTTAGGAGCTTTCCGAGGAGTGACCACTCCCCCTTATAGAGTCTCCCTGATTTCACCACACGTTCTTCTTATTGAGTCACTTTCTCAATTCGATACTTAAAAGCAATGTCATCATTTAGTGTTGACAGAATTTGTAACTGTGATATACAAATGTAGATATGTCGTTGTCACAGACAAAACTCAATGTCTTGTTTTATTGACACCCGTGTGTCTGCCTGGCTGTCTGCTAATGACAATATTCAATACACAACTGCGATCACTGACCACATGCAATTTGAACTTAACACCAATCAGGCTATACACCATAAACAAAACGCATTGATTTATGGCCCGAGTTCGGTCTCTGTCACATTATGTAATTACACAGACAGGCAGGTGTGATACTTGAACACATGACATGTTATGATGTCTGTTGATTGCAAAATGTTATACACAAAAAATGAGCATGTATTTACAAAACCCAACATCTCTATATATACACACACAATGAGCCGTGAGGGCATCTGCAAATGAACCAGCCGTTACACTTGAGTGCACACCCACCCGCTCTGACTGGGTTCGGTATCCCGGCTGCTTCGTTTCTTGGGAAGTAAACCGAAGTACACAATATTGCACTTTTGATTTGCGATTGTACGCTTATAATTTTGTTTATATATTTTTTCATAACCAGCAATGTATATTATATGTCATGAATAAGTGATAATTGTGTTTTAATTATGTTTGATTTTTTGGTTGCATGTGACCTTTTTAACCAACTGCACTTGTTACTATTCATTTAAATATCCGTATTTACCATCATGTACAGAGGCCATCAACTGATACTAAGATATATGATATTGAACGTGACACAAAAAGTTGTTCTTAGCTCGAAAACTATCCGACACAACACTTTAACCCCGGTGTTACCCTTTCTTGCAGGTACAATGTACAACAGAGTGAGTATAGTTTAAGGCCGCTTTTAGCAATATTTTAGCAAGATCAGGGCCGGGTACGCCATAAATTGACTGCACACATTCCCAGATAGCATTCGGACGTTGGCCCAACGTTGGCAATGTTGGCAAAACCATTGCCAACGTTGGCCCAACGTATGAATGCTAACTGGGTTGTACCCATGTTGGGAATCGAACCCGGGTCTTCGGCGTGACAAGCGAACGCTTTACCACTGGGCTACCCCACCGTCCTACGAGATACAGAACCCGCGTGAAGGTCCGGGTTAGAATGAACCTTCTATTCAGTAACCCATGCTTGTCGTAAGAGGCGACTAACGGGATCGGGTGGTCAGGTTCGCTGGCTTGGTTGACACACGTCATCGGTTCCCAATTGCGCACATCGATGCTCATGCTGTTGATCACTGGATTGTCTGGTCCAAGATCAATTATTTACAGACCGCCGCCATATAGCTTGAATATTGCTGAGTGCGGCGTAAGACTAAACTCACTCACTACGAGGTACAGACAGGTAACATCCAATTTTATTGAGATTACAAACAAAATCATCATTAAACATGATTATTCTTTTCTCATTTTGAGAGACTTCAGAAGATTTTTCTAAAGACGTTCTTTTCACACGCAGCACTTTAAAGGGGCTTCAGCGAACAGCGATAATCCAAGCAAACCACAGCATCGTGCATTTATCTTTATGAATGCTGCACATCAAATACCCTATTTTCAATTGAAAAAGAACGGTAGGCATGTTAATTGCTTTGTGCAATGTGCATATGTTTCACACTGATACCACACTCATTCGGTCGTTTTCGTATTTATTCGCTGTAATGTTGACATGTACTACCAGATCAGTTCATCTTTTTACAAACCATTGTCGTAATCATAGTGCCTGTAATTACATTTGAAATAGAAGTGGTAACTTCTCCATCACAATAATTCCTTTCACAACAGATCAATTATAAACCCAGTAACACAACCTTGTTGCATTGTTGACAAAAGTAGTATTTTCATGTACGACATGCTGAAAACGCTATTACACCGGAAGTGAAATTCGGCTCGACACGTCGAAGATAACACCGGTGATGTCGATGACATTTTACACATATTGGACAGCAGTACCGTTAGACTATCAACCTAGTAGGAATCGTGGTGGTAAACATTAGTTATTCCTTGCCCAATTGTGTATTCATCAACAATGGAGTCTTTGTACCACCAAACCAACAAATTATTGCACGAAGTGCAAGGCGACCTGGGGAAGATGGAACGTTGCCCAGCTGACAGTGTTCACATTATCGAAAATGAAATTCAAGCGAAGATTGATCATGTTATAAGTTATTCAGAACGGCTTACGATGCTAGTCAATAAAGAACCCCCAACCCGTAGAGCAAACGCTAAACTACGAGTGGACCAACTGAAGTACGACTGCCAGCACCTACAGGCAGCCCTCCGCCAGTTACAACATAAAAGGTGAGACGCCATTCAAGTCACAGTCACAATTTGGAAAGAATTCCAAACATTCCAGACCCATGTTTAGATGGACACTGTTAGGGTTGGTGTTCATATTCGTATTAAATATAATATTTGTTTTTAATTAATAAAAATAATATTATATTTGGTAAGACATTCCCCCCCCCCCCCAAAATTTTAACGATGAGGAAAACTTTATTTGAGTGGCATTTTTAGAAGCAGAATATGTCTTTCAGTATGTTCAGATACAATCGTTAAAACTCATCCTTATCAGATGAGGAATATATATTCAGGTGATATGATTTGACAGAATGAAATTTAAGATACAGCTAATAATACTTTGAAGTGGAGTGTCAGTTAATTTTAGAGGGTTATAGCTAAAACGGCACCACAGCAGAACGGCACCAAATTTGTTCGGCGACAACGGCACCATATTGGTGAAAAAGGCTACTGATTTCTGGGCTAAAACGGCACCATATATAAAACAAAGTATGACGTTGACTTATGTTTTATTTCATTTCATTATAACATTAGCAAGATTATATCAAAATATGAGTCATTCTCAAAATCTGTGCATATTTATGTTAGATGTTTGTACCCGACAAACTTAAGTCAAAATCAAACAAAAAATATTATGGTAACTAACTTATCCCAGTATATTCTACACTTTACAGTAACAAAATTAGGGAAAATATATTTTTAAATTTACTTTACACCAACCAATTTTACTCAATTTTCATGTGTCACAACTCCAGTGGCTGATGTCACAGATGTACCATTTGATTTTTTTTCTTTTTCATAAGAAATAAATATACAATTTCAAAACTCATTGGCCATGTTATATTGTAAAACTAGATATTTTAATATATATGTACATTAAAAAAATATTATCTTTGGATTTTTTCTTTTCAAAATGATGTTACAAATTTCCATAAAAGGCTAACTATCTTGTCGTGAACCTGGATAGGCTGACTTGGTTGACACATGTCATCGGTTCCCAACAAGCCTGGTGATCACTATATAGACGCAACTCCAGTACATTGTTGCTGAATAGCTGGATACATAATTGAAATAATTTGACAACAAAAGCAAAATACTGTGACAAAATAACAGATAAAAAAGATTGAATAATAAATATGTTCGGTATGGTGTTGGTTATGCCTAGCAACTAAATGAGCAGCCACGGAAAATCAAGTTATATAAAACTTGCCTTACATTGAATATATACGTAGATTTAATAATTACCTGAAGCGGTTACTTTTAGAAATGAACTGTTGTAATGAGTTCAGAATGTCACTATTAGTTGAGTTATTCAATGCGCGTTATCGTATAAAGTAGCTTTCACATCATATCCTTGAATATAAAAAATACACCCTTTGTTCTTAAATTTTGATAGTTCCGACATAATAGTAGATGTATTTACTATCTGCAATCCGATTATCTTATAACAAACTAGTTTTCCCCATAAGATTTTAGTTGGTGCCGTTTTCGCCATAAGATTTGTAGCCGTTTTCGCCAAGTCGAGGTTCCGTTATGTCCAAATGGTGCCGCTTTCGCCAGGTGCCGTTTTGCTGTGGGGACGTTTTGGCCTGAACCCATTTTAGACGGTAGTATACAGGACAAAAATAGTTAAGGATATATGTACATTTTGAAATTATGAATACGGATCTATTTAATCATTGACACACTGATAAAATATCCATCATAAAAATACCAATATACCTAACATATTTTGTCCAGTATATATAATGGATATGATTTGTTATAATGATTTTTAAGACAATTTCTAGTTTCCTAACACTGCCATGCTGCCCGACTGTGGCTAAAGAAACCAGTCCCAGAAAATATTTTAATGAAAATTGTAAATGAAGAGGAACAAGTTTAATGGATTGACAACTTCTTTATTGCAATAAATGTGATGGCTTTGTGTAGATGCTAAGACCATTTTCAAGCAAGTGTTTGCATGTCATTCAGTCATGCTTTCCAATTATTTCGTTGGAGAATTCTAACGATGTATTTTTCGTTTTTGCAATTGAACAATTTAATTTTGTCAACAATCAATCAATGACAGTGCCCCAACTAGCTGCAGTTACCATATCTCTTGTGTCATTGCTGGAGGCTATGGAATGTACCATAAGAACTGTCAGCCAAAAGAACACTTCGACATCTTAGATTGTCTGCAAATCGTAAAATATTTCATAAATCAATGGAAGTTTTTTCATCATTCACTTACCTCCAGATGTGTAGTCTCTGCTTCATCGAATCTTTGAATATGGATTCCAGATCAAAATCAAAGGTGGTTTATTCAATTAGGTTGCCTTCTTGTTTTCCCTAACCAGTACCAGTAAAGTGATGAAGGCGATGGGGGAAAACTACAGCGTATTTGTTGTCTTGACCAAAGCAGAGCTCAAGATAAACTATCTATATAAAAAATACACAGCAAAGTTAGTATTGTTTGCTTGCAAATACGCGTATAACATTTTCTGAAAAAACAATGGTATAGCACCACTCAGCATTGTTCATGATGTAAACCAAGTACCCATGTATCCTTTCAACTAGCATACCCTTGTTCCTTCATACCCTTTGCAGATCTATATACATAAGTCAAAAGCAGGCATCTCTCTGGAGAATCTCCCCTGAAAAAACTTGTTTTTGTTGTTTCTGATATTATTAGTTGAAACTGATGGTGTTACCATGGTTACATGTGGTATCAACCTTTTACCGAGTTTACTAGTGTCAGTCTCATTAGTTGGACCTTTGAACTTGTTGAGAGTTAATGCCTTGTTTGAGTGGCATTATCAGTGAATCATATGACTCTGGGAAGTGACCTTTGACCTCTTGTATGTGTTGCATGATGTTACTATTCTTGTTATGCAGAAGGTGTTGTGTGATTATTAAAGTGATGTTTTGTTTTTGTATGTAGTGTATGATAATAACTAGTGTATCAACCAGGAACTTCAACTTATCTTTGGGGTGGTGGGGTAGCCTGGTGGTTAAGGAGTCCTCTCGTCTACAACGAAGACCTGGGTTTGATTCCCCACATGGGTACATAGTGTGCAGCCTATTTCTGGTGTCCCCACCGTGATATTGCTGGAATATAGCAGCATAAAAACTCACTCACTTCAACTTATCGTTATCAGTGGTATTGAAATGCCTGTTGTACGTGTGGAAAACTTCCATATTGTAATGATCATGATGATACCAATGCTTAGCATAATTATGTTGCTCAGCACTGTTCACAATTGGGTCACTTCATTGGGCTTCATTAGGTATGTTGAATCATTAGTCCCGCTAAATACTTTCACGCTAAATACCGCTATGGCGCAGAAATGGAATATTGTTGTGTAAAAATGCCTACTGGATTTGTATCAGACTATACATTTGTGTTAATGAGTAGAGAAGATGTTCATGAAGTTACTTTTCCTTATCCTGACTCATGCTTAATTGCTTGTCTCTTTCTTCTTGCGAATGATAGTGGAACACTTGAATCCCCTTTGAAGCTCCCTTCAAAAAAGCGGACGTAAAATCACTCACCCAGTGTTACCTCCCTTGTGACTCTTTTGGCGGGAAAATGCGTCACATGATCAGATATGCCCCTCACTCTCTCCTTCGACCTTGAGGACGGTTGTGAGAGTGCCTGGGTCCCCTATACGGCATTATATCCTTTATTTTTTAGGCCTTTACTACTAAGTTAGATGTATACGGTTTTAGGATTAATATACCAACAATATGGTTTGAAATTTTGTCAGAATTATCGGTATTTGTTCACGTTGTTGACATGTGTTTTCATCGTGTTTACATTTGATGAAATCTTGCAGTCGTTGCAGATACCGGTTGTCGTTTGCTGATCCACATTTAATATATCCTAATTGTACTTCTCCATGTTCTTCCAGCTTTTTCTGTCAGTTTTGTCAGCATTTATCTGAATTTGAATTTAATAATTATTTAAATTACATTTTTAGGCGTGCCAAGGACAGGTCTAGACGACTTTCACAAGTCACGTCTAAACCAAATGATTGCGTTGATAACCGTTTGTTGTTGCCTACTGACATTCACCATTCTAGTAGTTTACCGGCTGTGTCTACGGTAGTGGTGTAACGATTCATCGATAGTATCGATGTTTGCATCGTCAACTACTCGATATGAGTGCATCGATACAAAACACGTTTAGGCAATATATCAGGATATTTATATCGCGAGGGTCCATGATACATCGATGTATCGCCACAAGAGACGATATTCCGATACTACTTAAATATTACTTAAAGTTGTAGGGAGTATTGCATAAGTAATAGGAAGGGAGTCTCTTTGAAATTTTTCTGAATTTTAAAAACAAACTGAACCTAAAAGGAATTATTTTGTGTCTGCCATCTTTTTTTACATGAACAAAAGAGTTAGTGTATCAGTGAAAGAAGTGTGAACATTTTTCAGTCTCTGTTAACTGTAAAGACTTGTCTTTAAGTAATTGAAACATGTTTTAGTTGTTTGACAATTAACACCATTTATTAACAACTATGAACGATGTCTTAGCTTTGTTAAGAAAGAGAAGATAAAATTTAGAAAGCATACTTAAGAGTTTTTTCAGTGATTCTGGTATAAATTACTGTATAAATTGTCTGTGAAAGCATTGGTGCAGAAACACAACTTTCCAAGGGAAACCTGGATCAAGGTATACTGAATATGTTTGATTGTATTAAATGCTGAAACTTAATTACATGAACAGCCTTTTAAGTGTGTGTGAATGTAACACATGTTCTGCCTAATAACAAATAAAGATTCAGTCATTTTATCTATCATATATGTCCTGTTTTTAGAATTGTAAAGTATCGGGATACGTATCGTATCGCCATCACTGTATCGTGATGATAATCGTCTCGCAGGTTCCTTGCCAATACTTTCATGATATATCATCTCGCCTCATTAAACTGGTATCGGGATATATCGTCTCGCCACTAAGGCCACGATACACAGCTCTAGTCTACGGAGCAGGTCGCTGTGACTGACGGCAGCTCCGGCTCCAAGAAGAGGTCGTCTACATCAACTATAACCTCATCGCAGTTGAAGAAGTCGAGGGCATCGTCTTCTCAGAAGAAAAAGTCGTCTACTAACAAGACTCCGGCGAAGTCTTCACATGGGGCAGCGCTTAAGATGAGATCTTTTGCTACAGAGATCATCCCAGCAGATGAAGTAGACGTTTATGATGAGCCACCCATCCTCATCCCTGAAGTGCCAGTGAGGAAGAAGACGAGGTCTTTATCTACAGTAACAGCAGCAGTCATCTCAACGCAGTCAGACGTTTTATCAACGCAGACATCGGATAGAGATGGCAGTTCGTCACAAGTGCAGCAGTCCTTGGGAGAAGCCTCGGTACTCTCAGATGGGTCGTCCGCAGTGCAGCAGCAGCAGTCGTCGTCGCAGAGCTTCAACCCCCGGGGTCTTCATGCAGCAGTTTACACAGCAGATGTTGGACCTGATGGAACGAAGGTTCGCGCAGGAGAAAGCAGCGACGGAGGCCCCATCTACATCGAGCCAACAATCACAACAGCCAGGGAGACAGTCTACTTACATCGGTATTACGCGGCGAAATCCTTCGTGCGTTTTCCACTCATCCTGCTATACACGTGTTCACTCGTGTAACTCCGGGAGATTACGGGCAAGGCCGAGTGTTGATGAAGAAATCAACGACTGCACAAGATTTTACGAGGATCATTTTCCTGCAACACCGGTGACGTCACATCGCGGGAATCTGAGATGAATCAAATGCTGCAATTTGATTGGTCCATGAGAGACAATGCCTTGCGCAGAAGTCGGGCATAGCTCACATACCAGGAAGTCGTCTACAGGTGTAAACAACTTTTCAATGTGGGAGAAAGGCTCCATTTACAGTCAAGTTAGCAGGGTACAGCATGTTTCGACTGTCTCCACGGGCCATAGGACCTTACCTGTCAGCAGATTGAAGATTGTTTATCCGGCGATTTGCAGCAACATACATTTGACGATTTTTGCTCGAGGCAGCCAGTCTACTATAAATAGACTTCATAGCGATGGCAGTTCCAGTACATCTAGAGACGACGAATTATGCATCATCACTGCACTTTGTTGGGATTCTGAGGACAAGTCTTCTTGACATATTATCGGAAGATTGAAGAAATAAACTTCAAGTCAGGATTCCAGAACCGGACATTACTCCGTTTCCATTACGGACATGGCAAGGGTTCCACTAGCTACTTACTTACAACGTAGGATATGAGCAGATTTCTGGGAAGATGTTCATCTCACCACAGAATCACATGGTCGTCTCAGAGGATCGTTGGGTCAAGATACAACAAATGATATCTCAAGCACTACTCTCTCCGTTACCTCTACGAAGTTGGCAGAGCCTACTTGGTCTTCTCATGTCAGCACAAGACATGACACACAGAGGACGACTACAACTGCGCCCACTACAAGTGTTCGTGAACGCTCATCTAGACAGTCTGGACTCCTTCGGACTACCTGACGGGCTGAAACCATATCTTCTATGGTAGACTCGGAAGTCGAATGTTTGTGGAGGAAACTACTTATCAGAGCCGGAGTGCAACACTCATCTCTACGTAGATACATCACTTCAAGGCTGGGAAGTTCACCTTGACAACGAAGTGGCAGCAGGGAAATTGTTGAGTCAGGAGCAGAGTCTGCACATCACCATGCTTGAGATGAAAGGAGTAATAAACACCTTACTACACTGGTCCAGCATACTGAGGAACGCACAACTGATGATCCATACGGACAACTCCAGAGTGGCGTTCCACATCAACAAACAAGGATCAACAAGGTCAAGGAATCTTCTAGACCTCAGCTTTCATCTGTTCAGCATAATAGACAACCTGAACATCGACATAAAGCATGCCACATTCCCTAAGCCAAGAATGTGATAGCAGACGCCCTATCTCGTCCAACACAACCATCCCCAACGGAATGGATGTTACATCCAGAAGTCTTCAGATGCATCATACAGAGGATAGGATATCCGCTGATAGACCTGTTTACCAAAATTCGTCTCTCCGGTTCCAGATCCACAAGCATGGGCAACAGATGCTCTAAGCATCTCCTGGGAAGGACTATGCATTTCCACAGGTGTTGCAGAAAATCAAGCAGACAAAGAAGCTGCAACTGATTTTGGTCGCGCCCTACTGGCCAGCGAGGGTATGGTTTCCTATCCTCATACAGGTACTAGGAAGTCCAACCATACAACTCCCAGAGTGGCCGAACCTACTAATTCATCTGCACACCAAGCATGCACACGGGAATCCAACAGTATTCCAGCTACACGCATGGATCGTATCAAGACTTGCTTGAAGAAAAGAGGATATTCCGCCAGAGCAGCGAAAGCAGTCACACTAGTTCTACGTAGATCAACCCGCAACTTGTACGACAACAAGTGGCAGAGTTTTGAGAAATGTGCATTTGAGGAAAGGCTTCACGGCAATGAAAGCAACACATCCTCAAGTGGCGGAATACCTTTGTCACCTAAGACAAACGAGGCGGTTAAAAGGTTCAACACTTTCTACATACCTAGCGGCCCTCAGCATGGTTATCACCATGAAGACAGGTATTAAGCTGACCAAAGTACCAGAGATACTGGCTCTACTGGAAGACCAACAAAAGAAATTTAAAGCGCATGCTTGGGATCTCAATGTAGTCTTACAGCATCTCACCAGTGACGCTTACGAACCACTAGAAAGGACATCCTATGAGTTTTTAGCACATAAAACTCTGTTCCTGGTCGCCTTGGAAACAGCAGCTCGGATATCAGAAATACATGCTCTGGACTTTGAACGAATACGATATGATGCACATTGCAATATCATACATTTGGGATTGAGATGGGATTTCATAGCAAAGAACCAACTGCCCAGTCAGCCAGACAGACAACTCCACATCCCAGCACTCTCGTCAATCCTTGGGCCACAGGATACTCAGGATCTATCCTTATGTCCAGTCAGAGCTTTAAAAGTCTACCTACAAAGGTCTAAGACGAGGAGACGAAAATTCAAGCGCCTTTTCGTCCCTCTATCTACGGAGAATCCTACAGAAATCTCAAGTACAATATCAATATGGATCAGAGCCATCATCTTAAGAGCCTACAAAGCAACAGGACTTGAGCCTCCACGAGCCTCCAATCCTCATGAAGTCAGAGCACTGGAATTGACACTCGCTGTACATGGAAACTGTTCCATCTCGACAATAATGGAGGGCTGCTATTGGAAGTCAGAGACGGTGTTTGCCAACCACTACCTCAGAGACATTGCTACCGAGGAGGTCTCTGGCATCCACCAGTTTGGGCCTCTTGTTGTAGCACAACAATTGACGGTTCCTCAAAGGCGCTGAGATGAATCTCACCCTTTTATCACATGACTTGTAAAAGCCAGCGCTTGGAAGAGTTAGAGCTTAGAGTCTATGTGCACGTCTAAGATAGGCTAGCATGAGTGACAGACCCTATAAGCACTTACTCGTATATGAAGAAGGGTCACTTCTCCATTGATGCGGAAATCAAATCATGGAGTCGTATAAATCCACTTTTACTGTCAGGAGAAGCGGTTACGGAAAATCTGACACGTTGTGGTCCCCCAAAAACTCATCAGAGGAAGCTGGAAGGAAGGATCAGCATAGTACTATAAGAAGTTCCCACAGGGGGGTATGCAGGACGTAAATCAGCATGGAATCCAGAGTGGCTTGACCCACCACTGTTTCCGTTTGATTCTACAAGCAATTAAGCATGAGTCAGGAGAAGGAGAAATATGTAATTTTTTTATTAAAATTCATATTTTATACTTATCCTGACTCATGAGGTAAGCCCTCCCAACCTCCCCTCATGGCACTCTTGATTCCCTGTAATCCAGGTGTCGGGCGCTTATTCAGGAGAGAGTGAGGGGCATATCTGATCATGTGACGCATTTTCCCGCCAAAAGAGTCACAAGGGAGATAACACTGGGTGAGTGATTTTATGTCCGCTTTTTTGAAGGGAGCTTCAAAAGGAGATTCAAGTGTTCCACTATCATTCGCAAGAAGAAAGAGACAAGCAATTAAGCATGAGTCAGGATAAGTATAAAATATCAATTTTGATAAAAAAATTACATATTTTACATCAGAGATACTGTAGAAATATTGACATCAGTTCTTGAATGAATACTAGTCCAGGAAGAGAGAATTATTTTTAAAAAATCATACTCTTTGATATATCATATATACCGGTATGTGACATTGACAGTTTGTTGGTGGTCAGCTACATAGCAGCTGTCTGTCTTGTGAAAACAATTCATGTCCTGTGTGCAGTCATCTATCTGGCTGTGTATACTGTTCTGTCTTATATTCCATTTCTCATTGAGTAGGCTTTGAGTAGACAAAACCTTTTCAATGGTGGTCAAATGAAACACAAGGTATATTTGGGGTAACACTTTCTCATTTGGGATTTGAACTTTCACTCTCAGAGTAAGGCACTTAATCACCAGAATACAAAGTCAGCAACTTAACCCACTCAGCCACTGAGGCTACCACAAAAATGTAAAGCTCACAGCTGGTAGTCTAGACCGCAAATTGTGTGCAAGCCTTTCTAACATATGTAACATAGCATGGATTCCATATGCAGAGATATATCATATTTCAAACATCTATTTACATTAACATTTAAACATACACAGTATCACATTGTGGACATTCTCTATTATTCATTGCCAGATATGTTCGAGAAGAAGAGGAGAGGGAAAGAGAGGCTCTTCTCACGACATCTTTCACTGCCAATGATGACACATCCATCTTTATTGACGCATCTGTCCAGCATCATAGTCGACTTCAAAATGCCCATCGGGGGTTGGATGATGCCATCGGTTCCAGTTCCAGCATTCTGCAGAATCTTCGCGATCAGAGAAGTACACTGAAGGGAGTGCACAAGAAGATTTTGGACATTGCTAACCATCTTGGTTTGACTAACACAGTGATGAGAATTATTGAACGAAGAACTGCTCAAGATAAGATTATCTTCTTTGTTGGTGTTTTAGTCACCTGTATCATTATGTATCTTGTATGGAAGTATCTTTCATAAGTCTGTTGTTACCCGTGAAATATTCCATTGCCATGTCATTTAATCAGAAATAAATTATTGTTGTTAAATGCTCTTTTTGTATATCTGTGTTTGTCTTTTTTGTTATCAGCATCCGATAGGGATTTTAGCTTGGTTGTCTCCAGAAACCTGTTGCTTTTCATGGAACTGAGAGGCCTGTGGTCCTGTGCATATAGCTGAGGTCACAAATCAGACGAAGTTACTCTATGTTGGGTGCGGACACACCTTGGATGGCAGACCGTGTTTGGCAGCTTGACTCCAGAGAGTGTCTGGGACTTCAGTCCTGCCCCACAACGAAGCACATATGATACATATGGTCTCACTTTTGCTGCTGTTCACCCAGCAGAAAATGGGTACCCAGTGGAATAAGTCATGTGACTATAATGTTCTAGCACCTAACAGGCAGCTTGGGTGCTGTGCCTTGATTGTTAGCGCTATGAGCATACCTAGTGTGGAGTTTGGCACTATATAAAGGGACACATTATTATTATTATTATTATAAACTAAATTGAATGGGTAGTCATCCTGATTGATTTGCAGATTGTGTGGCATCATATCCTACAGGCTCCTGTGACATAGCCACAATAAACATACCAGTGTTAAACAAAGAAATATGGTATCTGTCGTCAGGTGGTCAAGTACGTAATGACCACCATCAAACATGTCAAATGACTTCTGGCACTGAATCATATTTACTCAGCTACTCTACCGAGTAATGCTTTAATTTCAAATTATTTGTAAATATTGATGTAGTTATTTAATACATAACTGACTGACTGAGTTTGGTTTTACGCCGCTTTTAGCAATATTCCAGCAACATCACGGCGGGGGACACCAGAAATGGGCTTCATATTTAATACATAAGATCAAGGTGTTGACATCACTGTATGAACAGATAATGGCATAGTTTAGAAGTCTGATGTTAATGAAATTTACGACATATACAGCACCCCTGTTTAATTCATTGTACTTGAGGTTTTAAATATTGCCCAGTTTGGTCATATAAATGTAAATTCGAACATGGTAAAAAAGTAAGATGTTTTGACAGCTAAGGAAGGTGACTGTACCGACTTTTGCCTGGCGTCAGTGAAGAAGTAATCATACGTTTCTGAGGAATGGACTCTTCCAAGTACTGCTTCACGTCGTTGTTTGATTGGGAGAGCTGCCAGGTCAAACAGACGAAACCAGGAAGTCATGGCACTGTCTCCAACGCGTGTTTTGCAGTTATGTTTGGTGTCTTTGCTTGTAATTGCAGAATATCAGTGTTTGGATTTCCCTTTTGGTGAAATTTCAAAAAAAGAGTGCTTTCAAGGAAATTTTTGTCAGTCATTAAATACAAAAGAAACTATTGTGCTTTGATAAATAAACCGCTGTGATCAGTATTGCTAACATAATCAGTGGAAAGGATGCCCATGAAAAATGCCACCATACAATTGTGCATACAGGATATAAGCATACAGGTGTGCCTCAGTCAGGGCAGTATACAGGTGTGCATCAGTCAGGACAATATACAGGCATGCATCAGTCATGATAATATACAGGTGTGCATATGTCAGGGCAGTGTACATGTATGCATCAGTCAGGGTAATATACAGGTGTGCATCAGTCAGGGCAATATACAGGCAGGCATCAGTCCGGGCAGTATACAGGTGTGCATCAGTCAGGGCAGTATACAGTCATGCATCAGTCAGGGCAATATACAGGTATGCATCTATCAGGGCAGTGTACATGTATGCATAAGTCAGGGCAGTATACAGGCATGCATCAGTCAGAGCAGTATAAAGGTGTACATCTGTCAGGGCAATATACAGGCGTGCATCAGTCATGACAGTATTCAAGTGCATCAGTCAGGGCAGTTTACAGGTTTGCATCAATCAGGGCAATATACAGGTGTGCATCAGTCAGGGCAATATACAGGTATGTATCAGTCAGGGCAGTATACAGGTGTGCATCAGTCAGGGCAGTATACATGTGTGCATCAGTCAGGGCATTATACAGGTATGCATCTATCAGGGCAGTGTACATGTATGCATAAGTCAGGGCAGTATACAGGCATGCATCAGTCAGGGCAATATACAGGTATGCATCTATCAGGGCAGTGTACATGTATGCATAAGTCAGGGCAGTATACAGTCATGCATCAGTCAGGGCAATATACAGGTATGCATCTATCAGGGCAGTGTACATGTATGCATAAGTCAGGGCAGTATACAGGCATGCATCAGTCAGAGCAGTATAAAGGTGTACATCTGTCAGGGCAATATACAGGTAATCATCAGTCAGGGTAATATACAGGCGTGCATCAGTCATGACAGTATTCAAGTGCATCAGTCAGGGCAGTTTACAGGTTTGCATCAATCAGGGCAATATACAGGTGTGCATCAGTCAGGGCAATATACAGGTATGTATCAGTCAGGGCATTATACAGGTGTGCATCAGTCAGGGCAGTATACAAGTGTACATCTGTCAGGCCAGTATACAGGCATGCATATGTCAGGGCAGTATACATGTGTGCATCAGTCAGGGCATTATACAGGTATGCATCAGTCAGGGCAGTATACATGTGTGCATCAGTCAGGACTGTATACAAGTGTACATCTGTCAGGCCAGTATACAGGCATGCATCAGTCAGGGCAGTATACATGTGTGCATCAGTCAGGGCATTATACAGGTATGCATCTATCAGGGCTGTATACAAGTGTACATCAGTAAGGCCAGTATACAGGTATGCATCCGTCATGGCAATATACAAGTGTGCATCTGTCAGGGCAGTATACAGGTGTCCATCTGTCAGGGCAATATACATGTGTGCATCGGTCAGGGCTGTATACAAGTGTCCATCTGTCAGGGCAATATACATGTGTGCATCGGTCAGGGCTGTATACAAGTGTACATCTGTCAGGCCAATATACAGGCATGCATCAGTCAGGGCAATATACATGTGTGCATCAGTCAGGGCAGTATACAAGTGTACATCAGTAAGGCCAGTATACAGGTATGCATCAGTCAGAGCAATATACATGTGTGCATCAGTCAGGGCATTATACAGGTATGCATCAGTCAGGGCAGTATACATGTGTGCATCAGTCAGGACTGTATACAAGTGTACATCTGTCAGGCCAATATACAGGCATGCATCAGTCAGGGCAATATACATGTGTGCATCAGTCAGGGCAGTATACAAGTGTACATCAGTAAGGCCAGTATACAGGTATGCATCAGTCAGAGCAATATACATGTGTGCATCAGTCAGGGCAATATACATGTGTGCATCAGTCAGGGCAGTATACAAGTGTACATCAGTCAGGGCAATATACAGGTGTGCATCAATCAGGGCAATATACAGGTGTGCATCAGTCATTGCAATATACAGGTGTGCATCAGTCAGGGAAATATACAGGTGTGCATCAGTCAGGGCAATATACATGTGTGCATCAGTCAGGGAAATATACAGGTGTGCATCAGTCAGGGCAATATACAGGTTTAAGTCTGCAGGATGTGACATTACATTTTGATATTTTTATGAATAAAAGCAATAGACATGTATCTCAGTATACAATTTATGAAATGCTATTTCTTCTTTTCACCAAACTTGGACCAACTTTCATACTCTCAAAGTCTCTATCGTGCAAAACAGCTGTTCCACTGAGATGCTGCATCTTGTTATACCTGGACATTAAGTGCATTACCAATTCAGTCTTCACAGGTGTTTTACATCCCACATGTCTCTGATGAGGCTTCATTCATACTTTCAGGGTTGACACTGACAAAGACAATGTCACATTTTGTAATATTCATGTTGTTATCACTGAAAATATGACATGTACAAAGTGTAAATATTAATTTCAACACAACTTTGAAATGATTTAGGGAACACTGATCTGAGGTGAATTTAGAACTGTTTATTATTTTTTATTGCAATTTATCTTTGCAATAGAAAAATGAAACGGATACAACAACACAACTACTTGAATGTGAAGCAACTGTTAACATAGTACTTACACTGCAAATCTGGTAAAAACAAGCCTTCTCACTCAAGTTTACACAGTATTAGCGCTTATGGTTATGTGTGGAAAAAAACTCGAAAACATTCGTGCAAAATAACTGAAAAAATGTTTCATTTTTATTTGATCACCCAAACTTGCAGGTTAGCAAAAATCAGAAGACAACAAAATTAATTTTGGCATAATGTTCAGAACGTTTTGGCTTACAAAATGTCTTTGAACATTATATCATTTATATCACTACATGTCAGCTTGATACTGGAGGAGAGACAATCTGATGCTGGTACTACACATGTACCACTTCCGTGAATATAGGCAAACTTTATGGATCACTACTCATTTCGTGAATGACATTTTGATACAGGTGCCCTTGTCAAGCACTCACAACATGTAGTTGTCATCCATAATGTTGGTCTATAATGTACTTCCCATCTTCTGGAGCATTGCCACTCAAAGGAGTCACTTTGGTGAAACCCATGAGTCTAGGCATGATGCTAGACCTTTTCTGCCCAAACCATTTACTGTGCCCTTTTTAACATAAACAAGCTTTTGTGGAACTCAATGTTGAAATTATGATAAAATTGTAAGCACCCCCTGTATTTTTGCAATAATAGGTTTTCAACACGTTACATAAAACTTCTCAGTGGAAAAACATGAGATTGTCTGATCTGTATGATCCTTTGACTCATAAAAAACGACAAAATGACTGGAATCCATGTTGATTTTATGATGATAGTTGCTCACTTGTAAAAACCAACTGATTTCATACAAAACCATGTCTGTGCAAGTATGCCCCAGGAATCTTTAATGTTGAATGTATTGGTGAATGTGAACATTCAAAATGTCATATTGCATGTCTTACATGATTCAAGGTCAGTATCGAGTGTAACCTCCATGTGACTGCATCACAGCCAGTACACTCCTACTCATACCCCCTGTCAGCCTCCTTATCCTCTGAAGGGCAGTCTACACAATTCCTTGTGTAGAGCAGCTTCCAATTGGACCAGGTTCTGTTCAGGAGGATCCCTTTGTTGCACACAACGACCAATCATGTCCCACATATATTCCAAAGGGTTAAAATCGAGGATCATTCAATCATAAGATATGTCACGGGGTGCTTAACTAAGTTCTCTGAGTATATAATGAAACTATATCAGATAAAGCATGGAAACAAATAACTTGACTAAACTTATCTCTTGTGGCATATTTAATTTAATGTAAACATTTTCAATCCTTTTGTTTTTACGTTTTGTTCAACAGAACTTCAACACAAAAATAAGATAAAGTCACATATGGTCAGTGTGAGATTGTATGTCCACCCCATGGAAATAGGCAAGAGCTTACTCTACATAAATGGAATACAATGAAATTTGATATATATTTTTGTTTATTTGAAAGCAGACACTGTTTAATTAAATCATGCAAGCTACACAGACTTATACACAACATATATACATATTTGCTGTATGTTAAGCGAGTGAGTGTATTTAATACAATAATCAGCATTTCAGCTGTATCGCCTGATGAGCAAATATTTTTAGCGGTATTATATTAGTACACTAGTAGAGTTGTCCTACTATCAGACGACCAAATGAAAAGGGTTGTAGATAATGACCTGCAGAAATGTATGCACGATAACCCCGCTTGTGTAAGATTATATATTCAAATCTGTATGAGTTAGATTCTAAAGCGAACATGGTAAAAAGTAAGACGTTTTGACGGCTAAGGAAGGTGACAGTACCGGCTTTTGCCTGGCGTCAGTGAAGCAGTAATCCCCCCGGTTTCTGAGGAAATGGACTCTTCCAAGTACCTGCTTCGCGTCGTTGTTTGATTGGGAGAGCTGCCAGGTCAAGCAGACGAAACCAGGAAGTCATGGCACTGTCTCCAACGCGTGTTTTGCAGTTATGTTTGGTGTCTTTGCTTGTAATTGCAGAATGCTTTGCGAAGAACAAAGACCAAGTTCAAATTGTTGTCGAGGTATGAAAGAAATGTAATATAGCTCTGTCGCTATCAAGGCACGTCTCGCTCGTAATTGATTCCGTTAAACCATCAATAGTATATAATCACTTCGATTACAAGTGGTACATTTCCATTCTGGTAACTGCAATTTTGGTTTGAAATAGGTTTTTGTCTTGTTGGGGTTTTGAGTGTGTCTTTTTCAAGTGCATCAGTGAAGTGTGTGGTAGCGGAGAGCGTATAATGATACTTCTATGAGAAATGGCACCAGTGCATGTGTAATGATATTTAAAAATACTAGCCTAATGAGAACGTCTTAAAATACGAGAATGTAGATAAGAAGTTGTGGCACGTACCGACATGTACACGTTGATCATAGGGATACATTGAACAATATGTCTGGCGAATGATGTTTATTACAATCAGGAACATGTAAACCAGCTACTACAAATCAAATGATACTATATTCTATAATTTGTGAAAGTGAAACAAAATTAAATTGATCAAGTTTAGATGAAACGATTTTAAATACTCATGTACGTAATTACAGCGTACAAGAATAACATTCATCAGTATCAATTCTTTTCAGAAGAATTGCAGAAATAATTAATGGAATATGTCATACGTATACATATGTATGTATGATATTTATGAAAAAATTTCATTAAATCCTAAATGTGGTTAAGCAGTAGTTTAATCATGTAGAATGCTATTCCCAATTATTTTTCGTTCCAGATTTTTTTCTTTGTTATATCCTTTGTTTCTTCTGACAAAGCCCAACCTTTCACAAATATTCCCACGTCCAAATGTAATTAATTCAAGTACCCTATTCCCAAATATGTGATATATAAGAATGCTGTTGCAATATTTCAACTTCTAAGAGACCGAAACTATCATCCTCAGATCCAGCCAACATGCTTTGAAATAAGATCCAGGTCACAATCATGGGTCAGGTCAGGGCAAGCTAATGATTTCCTTATGTTACATGTGAATACCTAAAGTTTACTGTTCTGCTTTAGTATGTCATTTGTGCATAACATAAACAATTTTTGGATGTTAGTGGTGAAATTGAATCTTCATACCTCAGTGTACATTACATGAGTAGTACTGATATGAGATGCAGTGTGTAGCCTGTCCTGTATTGGTTCATGGTTTCGGTATTTCCCTTAAGATTCCATGGGCAAATTGGGCAAAAATTATTACATTGTTCAAAATTGTGATCTTTTTTGTAAGTTTTTATTTCCTGGATTTAATGTCAATTTAGCTTTGCATTCAGTGCAATAATGTAAAAGTAAGGATGCTGCCTGTGCCACATAATAGATTGGGCTGTTGTCAGGGATAAACATACAAGTTAGGGATAGTTCATTATTCATTCATTCATTCATTCATTCATTCATTCATTCATTCATTCATTCATTCATTCATTCATTCATTCATTCATTCATTCATTCATTCATTCATTTATTCATTCATATTTTATATTTTATTTATTTTGTTGGGGAGAAAAGAGGAAATGATGATTTTTATTTATTTTATTTTATTTTATTTTTTTATTTTATTTATTTTATTTATTTTTTTGGGGGAGGAGAAAAGAGGAAATCACCAATTTTGTTCTGGGGAGCTAGGGGCTCATCAATTTTGTACACACGTGCACTGGGGGGGGGGCATCAAGTTTGTACATAAAAATATGTGTAAAACTATGCTTAGAAATTATGGGAAGGGGAGGGGGTAATTGATTTTGTATATGACATGCAGGGGGGTCACTTATTTTGTACATAAAGTTTAGGGGTGAGGGGGCATTCACATTGTACATGCTTCTCCATAAATATCATCATCAACCCCCCTAGCCATTTCTTATGAACAGTCCCTTACCTCTACAAAGCCTTAACATTACTTGTAGCTATGGTAACAATCAATCCTTTTATGTTCTAGTTGGGGATTGTATACTGAAATTTGTTGAGTACTTGGTGCTGAATATCAGCCTTTGAACAGGTCTAGATAAATCCCTGGTTCCTGTCCTAATATGAAACCAATCCTTAACATCATTTTGCAATTTCCAAATGTCACCAAACTGATACAAATCAGCATTTTGGGCTCATATATTCGAGTGAAGTATCATAGATGACATGCATTAATATTGTGGGTTATAAACTATGACATTAGATGTGGAGTAATCTTCGTTTTTCTTTTATTACATGTAAAACAATTAAAAATAACAGTGCATAGTTATGTGCAGACAGTTTCAGCCAGATGAGCTATACATCTCATGGCTCCATACCTGATGTACTTGTGTAATGAGTGTAATATTCTGTTTGTCTAGAGGATGCCAGAGGACTGTCCCCAGGTGGCAGGAGATGGAGACCAAGTGACAGTACATTACACTGTAAGTCTGCCATTTGATTGGTCCACGGTCACATGTTTTTTGTGGTGGACGCTTAGGAACGATGTGCTACATATTTTGTTCCTTGTTGCAGTATTGAACTTGAGGATTAATCAGCTTGCTAATCACTTCACAATACAATATTACATATCAAATATAGTTGCGAGCAAGCATGTTCTATCTCGCCTATTGTGTCTGTCACATATCTGATGAAAGTAGTAATAGTTTTAGTTGATATGAATCATATCATTGCTAGTCGAATGCTCTTTGACTGGAAGGTCTTTAAGTTTCGATACATTCACCACAAAACCTTTTTTCTCAGATTAAAAAATATCACTTGGGTATCATGAATCTCAAAACAGAAGAACCCTATATTCAAACAGCTATCTTAATTACCTGTAACAATCATGAAGAAGATATGTACCAAACAGTGATACTTTTCACATGCACTGTAGAACAGAAACTGATCTGCTAACGTTTGAGATACATACAGCTAACTTTCATTGTGTTCTCTAAAGAACCGATGAAGATAGCAACTAAAGTGTGGAAAATATAATTTCACTTGTACCTCTGTTGTCTTTGGACATACATTACTGCAATCGGTAGTTATAATCGACACTAATAGCTCACTTGTACAGGTACATTTTGGTCGAAATCGGACAGTTGGTTTTAGAGTTACGGGTGTTTGAATTGTATTTGAGGGCTAGAAATCGTCCAAAACGGAGCCAGAACACGTTTTGGACAGGCGAGCGGATCTTCCAAATACAGCCCCCGGGGTCGCAGGGGGTGATGTACCTATTAAGAAGTTCTGGAGAAGAAATAGTTCCCTCTTTAAAAGGCGGTATCTCAGTTGTTCTTCGGTCTACGGTCAAAACAATTAGTGTTCTGGAATCACCAAGACTTCATCTATCATACTTTTTGTGCAGAATTTGTACAATGGTCACTTGACATCAGGTATGTCTAGAGCTGATGGTTCGAGGTCAGCACATTTTGGGAGCAAACTAGTCAGAAAACTGCTGCAAAACATGGCCAAAAACTGAAAACAAAATTAACTGCCAAACGGTACATTTTAGTGACTTGTTGGGAATTTGACTGTGCATCTGTACAAGAGATTTGGAAGAGTTGGAACAATTAGTTCTTGAGATATTTGCTGTCAAGCTTTGAACTTTTGGAATAAATTTTGAATTATCTCCCCTTTGCTATTGGGCCCAGAGCCTAGAGATTTTTAAGGGAATATCTTCACCTCGGTGGGCATCTGTGTGATTTTTTGTAAGTGATTCAGAGCATTGATTTAGGAGGTATGTTTTGTACAAAAATCGGTGGAATGATAAATAATAATAATAAAAATCCGAATGATTACAATAGGTCTCCTGCCTAGAGGCAAGGAGCCCTTATTAAGCCCCAATGTGAAGGATCCTCTGTCATTACCATGTTTAAAAGTTAAAATTGTGGAGGTCCCAAAATTCATTTACACTGGTAGAAAATCTCAAGGAACTGTTTAAGTAGTTTAATCATCAAATCAATAATTTATTTGTCTATCCAATTTTGGTAAAAAGAAAAGATAGACTGTGGCCTATGATACATCTGTCAAACATATATTTGTCTAGTTTGATTATTTGTATTTGAATTTTAGGGCTACCTAGAATCTGGAGCAGTGTTTGATTCATCTGTCCAACAGAAAAGAGATCCAATAGCATTTGTCCTGGGGAGCCATCAGGTTATTCCAGGTCTGTAAGAGCGATGTGACTGAAATTGTGACAAAGGTGACAGTGTACTAACCATATGTGTCTCAATAGTAAGATACACATCTCAATATTAACAATATACATCTCAGTGGTAACGGTACATGTGTCAACAGTAACTAAATATCTTTAGAGTAATAATACATGCATCAATAATAGCCGAACACATCTCAATAGTAGCAATACACATCTCAATAGTAGCGATACACATCTCAATAGTAGCGATACACATCTCAATAGTAGCAATACACATCTCAATAGTAGCAATACACATCTCAATAGTAGCGATACACATCTCAATAGTAGCATACACATCTCAATAGTAGCAATACACATCTCAATAGTAGCAATACACATCTCAATAGTAGCAATACATATCTCAATAGCAGTGGTATACATCTCAATAGCAGTGGTACACTTCTCAATAGCAGCGATACACTGCTCAATAGTAGCAATACACATCTCAATGGTAGCAATACATATCTCAGTAGTGGTACACATCTCAATAGTAGCAAAACACATCTCAATAGTAGCAATACACATCTCAATAGCAGTGGTACACATCTCAATAGTAGCAATACATGTCTCAATAGTAGTGGTACACTTCTCAATAGCACTGGTACACATCTCAATAGCAGCGATACACATCTCAATAGTAGCAATACACATCTCAATAGTAGCAATATACATCTCAATAGTAGTGATACACATCTCAATAGTAGCAATACACATCTCAATAGTAGCAATACACATCTCAATAGTAGCAATACATGTCTCAATAGTAGCAATACACATCTCAATAGTAGCAATACACGCAATAGTCTCAATAGTAGCAACACATACACATCTCAATAGTAGCAATACACATCTCAATAGTAGCAATACATGTCTCAATAGTAGCAATACACATCTCAATAGTAGCAATACACATCTCAATAGTAGCATACACATCTCAATAGTAGCAATACACATCTCAATAGTAGTGATACACGTCTCAATAGTAGCAATACACATCTCAATAGTAGCGATACACATCTCAATAGTAGCAATACACATCTCAATAGCAGTGGTACACTTCTCAATAGCAGTGGTACACTTCTCAATAGCAGTGGTACACATCTCAATAGTAGCGATACACATCTCAATAGTAGCAATACACATCTCAATAGCAGCGATACACATCTCAATAGTAGCAATACATGTCTCAATAGTAGCGATACACATCTCAATAGTAGCAATACATGTCTCAATAGTAGTGGTACACATCTCAATAGTAGTGATACACATCTCAATAGTAGCAATACACATCTCAATAGTAGCAATACATGTCTCAATAGTAGCAATACACGTCTCAATAGTAGTAATACACATCTCAATAGTAGCGATACACATCTCAATAGTAGCGATACACATCTCAATAGTAGCAATACACGTCTTTATAGTAGTGGTACACATCTCAATAGTAGCAATTCATGTCTCAATAGTAGTGGTACACATCTCAATAGTAGCAATACACATCTCAACAGTAGTGGTACACATCTCAATAGTAGCAATACACATCTCAATAGTAGCAATACATGTCTCAATAGTAGTGGTACACATCTCAATAGTAGCGATACACATCTCAATAGTAGCAATACATGTCTCAATAGTAGTGATACATGTCTCAATAGTAGTGATACATATCTCAATAGTAGCAATACACATCTCAATAGTAGCAATACATATCTCAATAGTAGCAATACATGTCTCAATAGTAGTGATACATATCTCAATAGTATCGATACACATCTCAATAGTATCAATACACGTCTCAATAGTAGCAATACACATCTCAATAGTAGCAATACACATCTTAATGGTAGTGGTACACATCTCAATAGTAGCAATACACATCTCAATAGTAACAATACACATCTCAATAGTAGCAATACACATCTCAATAGTAGTGGTACACATCTCAATAGTAGCAATACACATCTCAATAGTAGCAATACACATCTCAATAGTAGCAATACACATCTCAATAGTAGCAATACATGTCTCAATAGTAGCAATACATATCTCAATAGTAGCGATACACATCTCAATAGTAGCGATACACATCTCAATAGTAGCAATACACATCTCAATGGTAGCGATACACATCTCAATAGTAGCAATACACATCTCAATAGTAGCAATACACATCTCAATAGTAGCAATACACATCTCAATAGTAGCAATACACATCAATACACATCTCAATAGTAGCAATACATATCTCAATAGAGACAAAACATATCTTAACAGTAAATGTACCTGTCTCTTTGGTAAAAATTAGAATTACATTGGTTGCGACAACTTAATAAGGTAAGGAAATGAAAAATCAACACCTGCCATGCTAGAAGACATTCAATTAACATTTGCAGTGTCTAGATGTCCTACCTTCTGATTGTTACACACCCATCTGCAGTGTTATTTGTATGTTTCAGGCTGGGAAGAAGGACTTCAAGGGATGTGTGTTGGGTTTGTATTTCACTGGAATATTTCTTGTATAAATAACCTTACAGGCAATGCACGTCTTAAGCCCTTCTGTCCCCCCTCCCCCCCCCCTCTCCTGTGTTTCTGCTCTTCTGGGCCCTGATCCACAAAGTGTTCATAGCGCTACGACATTTGTAAGCGTTTGATAAACTATAAAGTTACGAACAGGTTGTAACGTTACAGAACGCTTTGTGGATCGGGGCCCCTCTCGTTAGGATTAATGGTAATAATTGTTTTAGCCATGGTCCTAAATGTTTATATCAATTTTGAGTAATTGTATGTGAAAACATTACATATAGGCTTAAATATGTGTATTCTCAGTGTATATACCTTAACAGATGTAATGTAATGGTTGTGTTTGTTCCTAATGACAGTTTGACCAAACAGTACAGTTATGACATAGATTAGCCCACATTCTAGTCACCAAAAGACTTTTTTTTTTTTTCTTTTTTAAAATAATATTTGGGTAGTACTTGGGATGGAGATTCATTGGACAAAATGGATATAGAGTTTGGAACTGGAGATTATATGGACAATCCTACAGTAACCTTGGTATCTGGGATTTATGTTGAAGAAAATTGCTCAGCAGAGAAATAATCTCAAAATAAAATATTGTTTCACACTTCTTTCAATGTAGAAAATTGCTTGTTTTGAAGCAATGACCTGTTTAACGTGCATGTTAAGCCTGAAGTGAGTCAACATTTGTATGTACACATCGTAACTCGATGTTTTACTAAACATATTACGTGTTTGGGGACTGTGGAATTTATTTTGACCAGACAGCTCATTTAATGCCATTAGCATAAGACATAGGAGCCAAACATTGGGATTGAAAAATCCACTGTGACTTAAAAAGGATACTCATATCTGAGTGATCTTGGACTGTTTTAAGATTTTATTATTAATGTTTTAGGAATCTGAAGCTGGTATATGCAATGTTTTTATTGGCTTTTTGCTTGTTCCAGTGAGAAGAGGAAATTAGTCATACCACCAAATCTGGCTTATGGGCCCAAGGGTCATCCACCTGTCATACCACGTGAGGACTTGATTCCTTTTGTTGTTAGAGTGAGTGAGTGAGTATGGTTTTACGCCACTTTTAACAATATTCAAGCAATTTCACGGCGGGACACCAGGAATGGGCTTCACACATTGTACCCATATGGGGATTCGAACCTTGGTCTTCAGTGTGACAAGCAAACGCTTTAACCACTAGGCTACCCTGGCGCATCTCTTGTTGTTTAGGTATAGGTTGGTTACAAACAGAAATGGTACATGTGATAGGATTGGCATGTTATGTGTACTACTCAAAACAAGTTAAGGCAAACCCATTTTTAATATGACTAAAGTAAATCTGTCTTGGCATGAAAGATTCTGACACTAGTCCTGAGGACCAAGTAAACTTTATTTCACTCACCCTCAGAATTTGTAGCTATTCCTGCTTGAACTTGTTTACATTTTCTATCAGATTTATTCCTTACCATATTGTAGCAAATTTGAGTAGTTGAAACTTTGTTCTGTCTTAACCCTTCTAATAGAACCAGTCAGTAAAGACTACCATTTTGATTGCCCTTAAGACAATTTGGCTTAGAGACCAGCATGAATTTCAAAGGCTGCTGTATGGAACTCCATTCAACGTATTTAGAGTATAAAAAGCTCAATACTTCTCATTATAAGGAGCTTTATTTGATCTTCAAATTGAATAAGAATCCCTTAGGTACAATTATCCACAATAATTTTTATGCCATATGACAAACACATGTACACCATTTTGGCTGTATAATTTGCACTTGAGTGCATGCTATTAGTAAAATATATGTCGTCATATGATGACATCACATTCTAGCAGTGGGTATATAGAGGATACTAAGCGACCTTCCATGTAATACCATTTTTATCCCCCGCCGCGCGTTTAGCTCGAAACGGGGGAAATAGTATTAGGCTCCGTCCGTCCATACGTTAGGTACATCCGTACGTACATACGAATTGGAATATCTTAAGAACCGTTTTCTAGATTTTTTTCATATTAGGTACCTAGGTTCATCACAGTATAAGAAAGGTCCAAGTCAGGTTTGGTGACCTTGACCTTCATTTCAAGGTCACAAGGGGACTTTCACGTTTTACCTGCATGTTAAGCTATCTCAAGAACCGTTCACTGGATTTCTTCATATTCAATACAAAGCTTTGTCTAGGGAAGGCGCAGGGCCCAGTCAATTTTGGTGACCATCACATAATTTTCAAGGTCACAGCGACACTTTGAAGATTTCAGCATGTTAACCTGAATTGTCAGCAAGATATTTCAAGAATGGTTCACTGGGTTTTCTTCAGACTTTCAAGACTTCCCTTAAATGTTTTTCAATAAGCAATTTCTTTAGTACTATTTTTGCATATTTCATACACTATGACATTCACCTTAGTGACAATGCTTGTTATTATACCAGTTAATGATTTGGTATCAATAGAGCAAAAGCCAGTTGAATAAAAATGGTATTTCATGGAAGCAAGTTTAGTATTCTGTTTATTACTCTAGAAACATAAACTGACAGAAACTGCCTACAGTGTGATGACTCTCATATCAATTTTCCGCGAGTCAAGCAAGGTCTTATACCACAGCGACAGAGGCATTAGCATTGTAACATCATAACTGTAACCATTATGAAGTCACATGTCTAGCAGTATTACACTAGTGTAATATTGCCATAAAAATATACTATTCACACTTTGTTAAGGATCAAATCATGGATTCAACAGAAAACTATGATGTGGGGTCAAATTGGATTTAAATATCTAAGCTTATTGTAAGCATGGTTCCTAGGTTTCAGTATGTCATTTCATCTTGTGTATCCCATACCTGCTATGGACAGGTGTTGTGTACTTGTCAATGACTCGTTCCATGATTTCAAAATGGTTGATTGGTGCCATGAAAACCAGTTTTATGGTTACTCATGTATCAAGTGCATAAGGTTAGATTAAAGTGACTGGGATTACCATATTATTATTCATCCAGTTTTAAATGGATACAATTTCAAATTATGAATCTAGGTTTAAGTAAAGTTGTGAATTTTTGTGATCCTTAGCAAAGTGTGAATAGTATATTACACTGCAGTATCTTCCACAAGTGAGTAATAACATGTTTTATGATATAACAGTATGTCACACAGAATAACAGACGTTGCATAGCTGACCAGAGCTTTAATTATGAGAGAATTATTTCAAGAATAACAGACTTTGATAGCTGACATAGCTGTTATTACAAGAGAATTTTCTCAAGCCTACCAAAAGAGATTATAGTACTGTCGGAAATGCTAGAAAAATGCTTTTTAGCCTTAATATCTTTATAAAGGTGATACATGTACTATGTTGTCAATATATCAACTCGTCTATTGTCTACCTAATTTTTATTTCAACCAATTTAACATTCCCATGCATTTAAAGGGCAGTTTACAGGAGAGAATTTGGTACCAAAACAGCAACTTAAGATTTTTTCAGAGTTCAACAACAGAAATCTGAAATAGTCTTTACATTTATGCTAATAATACAGGTGGTGTAAAAATATGAATTAACGTTTTTCCTAAACAAATAAATGTTGAATGTTTGTGTTACTTTACTTAATTATCATTTCTTTATTGAAGAAATATTAATATAAATGTTAAGTCTTGATAAATAAGTTTCCCGTCATGCATGCACATCTTTATCACAGCGTCCACTGTGGCCAACGATTTGCAGTCTATTGTTGCAAAGGTTTATAGGTTTTTTCTGCTTAAAAGACAGAGGTAAACCTTTCATTAGTTTAGAAAGGGTTTATTACAGAACTTGTAGAGCTGTTGGCATGTCTTACCAACAAGTTTACAATATTGTAAACAAATCAGACAAGAGAGGGAGCGTCTCAAATGCAAAACCGGGACGTAAAACCATCCTTGACAACTTTGACAAGGGAGTGCTTAGACGGGCGGTCTACAAACTTTATGAGAAGAAAAATATATATATTCTAAAGAAGCTACACCAGTGACTTCGTTAAATCTTTGGCCAATGTTCACAACTAGATTAAACTGACCGTATTACATCCATATTTTGCAATGAAATATACTGTTGACATGCAAAACATTTATTAAAACGTTGCACATTTCTACAATCAATCGATCGAAGATAACACAAGTGATAGGATTCTTTCCAATGTACAGTAATTCAGTATGTTTAATTCAAAACAAATACACATACACAAATGATCCCTTACATAACCGATCATTATACTATCGCATACACATATTCAACATTTTGCAGAAAAAACATCTATTGAGATGACCCCTCGCCCGAGCGTGTGCTCAGGTGTCAATTTCACCTGTCGATACCGTGCATGCTGATGACGTAACACAGGCAGTTAATGTTTGTATCAAATAACGTCCCACTACTCCTTATTTTTCTAAGTTTTTGGTATTTTCATCAGTAAAATCACATTTTAGAGCATGTCTCAAAATTTATTCCCTCGGTCTACATTAGGTAGATGTTTCTTGAAGTGATATTTGTTATTTATGTAACTGTAATACCTATGAATTTTTAAATGAAAGTCAAAAAGCATTTTTCTAGCATTTCCGACAGTACTTTAGTTGTTTATTTCTTTCAGCCATATTAAAAGTTTTCCTTTTGCCTACTGTCCTAGGTATTGAGATATGTGTGCATTATGTGCTGTTGTGATGATGATGTGTGCTGATGATGCCAAGTCAGATATGTTAAAACTCTCATTTGTTTTATTATCCCCCGCAACGCATTTTGCGGAGTTATTAAAATGGACTTTTCCGGAGCAGAACTCTAAAACCATTCAATATTTCTTCACTAAACTTGGCACATAGATAGATCTGGTGGTGTACTGGTGCCTTTTGGTTGTTTTGGAATTCTGAATAAAACATTTTTGGCGTTTCCATGGCAACAAGTTCGACTTAGAATGAAATTAGTGGTAGTGCTCGTTTCCGGGAGCAGAATTCTAAAACCGTTCACTATTTCTTCACCAAACTTGGCACATACATAGATCTGGTGGTGTACTGGTGCCTTTTGGTAGTTTTGGAATTGTGAATAAAATATGTTTAGCGTTTCCATGGCAACAAGTTTGACTTAGCCTGAAATTGGTGGTAGTGCTCTTTTGCGGAGCAGAATTCTAAAACCGTTCACTATTTCTTCACCAAACTTGGCACATACATAGATCTGGTGGTGTACTGGTGCCTTTTGGTAGTTTTGGAATTCTGAATAAAATATTTTTGGCATTTCCATGGCAACAAGTTTGACTAAAACAGAAATTAGTGGTAGTGCACTTTTCTGGAGCCGAACTCTAAAACCGTTCAATGCTTGTTCACCAAACTTGGGACATACATAGATCTGGTGGTGTACTGGTGCCTTTTGGTAGTTTTGGATTTCTGAATAAAATATTTTTGGCATTACCATGGAAACAAGTTTGACATAGACTGAAATTAGTGATAGTGCTCCTTTCTGGAACAGAACTTTAAAAACCTTTCAATACTCTCCTTCCACTTTTCTATATACACACCTAAATATGTGACATAATCATAACTCGTAGACATAATCATGAAGAGTATTTTGCCATTGCGGGGGATATTGATGACTTTGTCTTCTTGTTTTTCCTACTATGCACTTGAAGAAAATTGACTACGTAATTATTCAAAACCACACATTGTAAGCTTATTTATGGTCAGGCAGTGATTATTAAAACCAGTTGCTTTATATGTCCAATATGGAATGTCATTAGTGTATAAGGGTACGTGTGTCTGTGTTGAGAAAACATGTTCTTTTTTCTCCATCATTGTCAGCGGTGGGGTAGCCTAGTGGTGAAAGTGTTTGCTTGTCACACTGAAGACCCGGGTTCGATTCCCCACATGAGTATAATGTGTGGAGCATATTTCTGGCGTTTTCCACCGTGATATTGCTGGAATATTGCTAAAAGCGGCGTAAAACTAAACTCACTCATTCCATAATTGTATTACTTTCATGACCAAAATGTGAAATAGTATTATCTATTATCCTCGAAATATCCTGTATTCTTTATTCCAGCTGATGCCACTCTGACCTTCGAGACTGAGCTAATAAGTCTGAAGAAGAAGTCCGCAGATGAGTCCATTCTGAAAACACTCCAGTTCTTGGCAATGCCAGCTCTGGTGGTTTATGTTCTGTATTACCTCTATGACAAGTACAAGAAGGAGACCGCACAAAATACGTCTAAAAGTGACAAACCTAAAGGAAAGAAGAGGAGGTGATGTTTTTTTAACAAAAATAAAATGTGTATTTTTATACATTTTAATTTGTCTGTTGTTAAATTTGTACTTCAGGAAACGTGGTATAAGGAGACAACGAATTGTCAATTCTGTATTAATTTTTGTATATTTTATTGAGTTATGATTTTTCATTAGAATGGTGAGAAAAGTCAATGAGGTGAACACGACATTCAAAATGATACTTTACCTCCAACGGCATCAGTTGCATACCACTAAAAACTGTTAAGATTATTTCATGTTATTGATGTTAATTTGACATGGCATCAGTTGGAAACATACCAACTAAACACCTGATAAGTATTATTTCTTTGGTCCCATTGATGTTATCACTATTAGAGTCTGGTTAACATGGCATAAGTAAACAATGCTTAACTAATCGTCTTCTCATCCCTGGATTAATTTACTCAACAAAAGGCTGGATAACTAAATTAGCGATCACCACATGATCCGACATGAGGGGCAGTCGTGTCAGTCTCCAGTCAAACAAACATCCTACTTACAGCTCCCTGGCATCAAGCAGTTGACAATACACTGACAGCTGGAGGCCAGCCCTGATAAGTTGTTCATTGTTACATATGCATACATATACATGCATATGGTTGTCATTTGCAGGTTTTTATAAGTTTGGATAAGTAAAATACCTGATAAGTAAACAATTTTGGCAAGTCCCTTGAAATTTTACTTATCAGGTTTCCACTGTACATCAGATTACATTGATGGCATCTGTGTCAAGCACTGTTTTACCCTTCTGTCTGTTTGAACCAAATTCATTTGCTAACTCATTCAGGGTAGAAATCAAGGAAAGGGTGACATAAATATGGGATGGTCACAGTAATGGAGGCATGAGTGGCCCTGTCGGTCTAGTGCATCACAAGTTGCACCCCAACTTTTGCTAGAAATGTTTTGTGGTGGGTTTGGAGCCCAGATTAAGATTCTTTGTTCATCAGAAGTAAACGTCTCACGACTGTCACATGGTTTTTCTCTAGTACCCATTTGACATGCATAGACATAACAGACATTCTTTTTCACAGTGTTGATATAATGCTTCAAAGGTGATCACAAATGACAAACTAAAAACCCTATTGATGGCGACTTAAAAGATATGCCACAATGTGTAGAAACTCAATCTTTTCACGCTTCATTTGACCGGTTCAGGCTTGATTACTTCATACTTGTACTCAAAAGCTGATCTACACCTGACTTTGCTGAGATGACCTTGCATGTTGTGAAAGGTGTTCAACCCATACTGGAAAAATATGTGAAGCCAGTTCGTGGTTCCCCTTGTAATGGGTGGACTACAGAAGAATGACCTTGTACCACTCTCCCTCACACATTTGTCAGGAAGGAATTCAGATTGAGGGTGTCTAGTTTCCATGTTAAAGGGAGACCGTGCATCTGTGGCCCATTTTCAGTTTAATATGTTAATAGGTGCCATGTTTTAAAAGTGGACATTCTCCAAGTGATTAGGGTAAACGATTACCTGCAAGATGGATACGCATCTTGAGTGTGATCACCAGTGAAGGTCCGGGTTAGAATATTGTCCTTCAGTAACCCATGCTTGTCGTAAGAAGCGACTAACGGGATCGGGTGGTCAGGCTCACTGGCATGGTTGACACACGTCATCGGTTCCCAATTGCGCAGATCGATGCTCATGCTGTTGACCACTGGATTGTCTGGTCCAGATTCGATTATTTACAGACCGCCGCCATATAGCTGGAATATTGCTGAGTGCAGCGTAAAACTAAACTCACTCACTCACTTGAGTGTGATCAAAAGTTGGCAGTGTTAAAAAGCGTTTAAGGACTTCAGGTACTTTTGTAACACTTGTCTCGGTTGTCGTCTCCCTTTATATACACAAACCTCAAACAAACGTCAAACCTTCTTTGCGTTGCTAACCTCTGGAATGCCCACTTGTAGGCAAGTAGGTTTTCTGACAAAGCCTAAAGCGTAGGGACGTACTATAAGAACTCCAGGACGTTGCGACCCTATGATGTCTCTAAATACTGGTGTACCAGAGACTGAAGGTTACTGTCATGTCTTCGTTTCCGAGACTTTGGAATTCCAGTTGAACAATGAGAAAGACATTCCAATCAGTTTCAACTTAGTACGGCGACCCTTGTACATGCACCAATCGTATATCCCAGAAGGAAATGTATGTAGGCCTTTCTGATGCATTTCTTCATGCAGGGAGCTCCAATGCTGGTGTCCATATATTATATACTTAGGCAGAGGGGTATCGTATATGTAGAACAAAACGTTGAAGTTTATGAGATTGGCGACCAACTAGACCCTGTACAAGGCCAGTCACACACGAATATGATTCGCCTTGCCTGACGTTAAATGTTTCCATCGATTTACTGTTTTAAGGGTTTTTTGTTTTGTTTTGTTTGTTGTGGTTAACTATCAGCTGGTCCGCTACAAAAATTGTTACAAGCAATGATGAATCAGAGCATTTCTGAAAAGGTGCCAGAAGCCTTGGAACCCAATGTGCTGCTGAAGCTTTTACCACACCCGGGTATTTCCGCAGTATGTTCTCACATGATCTCACAACATGTATTTCGTCAGTTCGGGATGCTTGATGACACCGCGTAAGCCTGTTTTGTCCAATTTCATCAACAGAACATCAAGTCACCTTGATGCCTGCAAAAATATGCTTTCTGGTTTTGTGAGTGAGTCGGGTTTTACGCCGCATTCAAGGCGGGTCGTGGATTTGTAGTTGGTTGAACATATCCATTTGTAGTTGGTATAAATACATTCGAATTTATCGTAGATAACACATACGCTGAGCCACATTCTATATTCAAGCACGGGTAGGGCGCATTTACATATGAATTATCACAATACCATATTAAAGAAATATATAAAGTATACCAGATATACAGATTAATTTTCAGATCGCGGTAGATACCCTGCATTTATAGCTCAGGTCACAAATCAGTTGAAGTTAAGCAAAGTTGACCGTGGAAATGTCTTGGATGGGTGACCGTGTTTGGCAGCTTGATTCCCGAGAGTTTCCAGGACTTAAGTCCTGCCCAACAACGAAGCACACGTGATTGGTGTGGTCTCACCTTAGGCAAGTGAGTGTTCAAAATTGCACCCAGCAGAATAATGGATACCCGTTGGGATAAGTCACGTGACTATTTACCTTCTAGCGCCTCACAAGCAGATTGGGTTATCCGTGGTAATAATTATCAGATTGTTTGGGCGCTTGGAGCATGCATTATGCGTGGAGAAATGCGCGTGATAAATGGACTATTATTATATTCATTACCAATAATACAAAAAATATCATTTAATTCTGAACGAAAGGTGAGGTGAGGTGAAATTGGGTTTAACGTCGTGCTTGAGAATATTTCGCTCATATGACGACGTGCATGCGTGAGTATGTGTATGTGCGGCTGCCTGTACTAGCCCAGACTGAAGCTGGTATTATAGTGCTAGCCCACTGAGATACCATGCCGCAGTGAAGCATGAATACCCCACTCAGACACATTATACTGACTCCGAGCCGACCAGTCCCTGTTGTACCCATTAATGCCGAGCGCTAGGCAGGGACCAACAAGTACCATCTGAACGAAAGCAATGAATTGTAGCAAGATCACGAGAAACATTTAAATTAATCATACTTACAGGTGAAATAAGATATATTTTGGGTGTCACAGACTCCAACAAATCCCACAGTGAATGTGATTTAAGTAAGGTCTCGATTAGTAACTATGACGTACCATCATCTGACATCTTTAGCATGTTTGGGTTTGACCTGACCAGTGAGCCGAACCACCGACCTTCCGCACACTCTGACCACTAGTCTACATAGGTGGCATGGTGCTGAGAATCGGATGAACATAATCAATACGACTCCTTTATAACGATTTCATCTCTACTTTATTTTAGGATAGCCTTCATCATTAATTTACAATTAATACTTACAAAATTTAAAGGAACCCTGGGTGATGGATAAAACTATTTGAGTTTCACCTCCCAAACACAACAACAAACCCGTGTTGAACCAAACATGAGATTATCTTCCTAAGATTTCGTGGTCTTTAGTCTTACTGTGAAGAACAATGCATCGTCACAAAACATGCCTCAAAACATTTTCTGCTGAAAACAATTAAAGGTTTTCAATGGCATTAGTGAAAGTGGTTTTATGCCACTGTCAGGAATGATCCAACAAGTTCGAGGGTTCCAGTACAGTACAGTTTTGGGTAGACATACCAGTGAGCGATAGCACGTAAAACATGTCCAGCCTCGGGGTGCAGTGATATAACCTGCCAGGTCAGCAATATAACCACGTGATCCTCACCTCTTATCTCTTCCGACAAAGATGTACTAAACATCGTCTACCCGGAAAAAGTCCACGTGGTCAGGCGTGCTGAACCGAAAACTGGGTTGAGGTGATTAGTGTTAGTGCGTGTGTGCGCATGCGGTTATGTGCGGACTAATGCCGGTTTATAGCGTGAATTAACAATGGTTAAGTTAAACTGAATACCCCGATTACACACAGTCTACTAACCCTGAGCCCAACAGTCATTATGTTATCTCCTCAATGTCGACAGCTAGGCAGGGTAACAATACCATTTTAAATGTCTTTTTGCATGATCCCATCATGGGGTATGGAGTCGAACCACTGATCGTCCGCTCCCCAGGTAGGCCTCCTATCCACCAGCTCCTATCCCACGATTACCAGGGACGATTAATGGTAGCTGGTGAGTTTGGGGTTACACCCTTTTAGCAATATCACGGCGGGGGACACCAGAAATGGGCTTTTGTCTGTGCATCGCACCCATGTGTGGAATCGAACCCGGGTCGTCAGCGTGACGAGCGGACGCTTTAACCACTAGGCTACCCCACCGCCGCTTACCGTTTGTGAGCGGATCAGGAATTTTAACTGGGCTCGCACTGGAAGTGAAAAGTCAGCTTGGTGGGAGCGAGCTGGAATGGTGACGCTACTCTACATAGCCACCGCACACCTGTAGCATGCATGGATCATCGAGTGTCTTGAAATGGGAAACGTCGACGCCAGATATTAATTACGGTAAATAGTGGTGAACATTATATGAATGGAAATTAAAAATCAGTGACACCCAGCTGTTCACGAAAAGGGTAAGTACGTCCAGTTTAACTGGTAGCATCAACAAATCATAATTTGCATTAAATGTGGGTTTGTTGTCATACAGTTCAGACAAAAGCTGGGATTCTTAGACGTGCGTTCCGTCCATTGTGATTACACTTTTCTCCCAGGATCTTCTGGTCTTCGGCCAGTTGCTTACCTTACAGTTGTGTTTTTGTGCCCCGCGTATCATAGTCACCACACAAGGTGTTTGTCATGGTATCCAATAAAAGAATATACAGTTACACACGTTTTATGTCTCTGTAAATTCGAACGAAGTGGAAAGAAAAACAAATACGACTTATAAAAATACTGCTTTAGTAATCTGCAGTCAAAAATGAAAATACAGTAAATACAGCAATAGACTGTACATAGTACGTCTGGGCATGATTGAGTCGAGTGGGAGCAATGATCTATATAACCTTCGTGTTCGTTACCAGAATAAACTATTGACAAAGCAAGGCGCTCTTTTCACAGTTACAAGTGAGGGATCGTTTGGTGATTTTTTTCAATAACCCCTTCTCTGGCACGATGTTTTCTCAAAGAGAGTCGTACGACTCTTGCTTAGAAGTTGTTCGACCAGGCTTATAGCACTGGATGCCTTTGTAAAGCTTTTAAACTGGTTTGTGGCCGACATGCAGAGGATAAATCAGATTTTGACAAAATTTATGTCCGATGCAATTCACAATTTGACTTACATCTTGTTGCCTTTGCTGGTGTTTGAGCACTGACAATACGCTTACCTGTCCGTGAATACCTGGTATCGCCACTATTTTATTGGAGAATATTTATTTATATAGCTCACATATCCACGAAACTAGTACATGCTCAAGGCGCTGGTATACTATCGTATTCGGATTCCAATACACACCATTGCATTCTTATATGATATAGCCGTGGTCGTATAATGGACTCTGCCTTTAGCATAGATTTCTTATGACTACGGAAATAGTTTTCCCTTTTTGTGTAGATACAAATTAAGCCTATGTTCTATATTTCCTATTATAGCCAACATGATTGGACAAATACCAATCAATTAACTGAATAATCACTTATCGACACTAAAAAATATTGTACCGATAGGAGTAAATCTTTTTTCAGGTAACGGCACCTGGCAACATTAACTTTGCAATCACTATGTCCCTTCACAAGGTTTTCCCAAGCGTATAGCTAGGTGATACTGTGTCAGCGTTCATGTTCTCTAATTCAGTGCAGCAATGCCTCGCCATGGTTTATCCCAAAATCATATATTGGTATTAACGAGAGGAATCCATCTTGGTTCAAAAAAGTGATTGCTTGTATAAAAAATAGACACAAACAAAAGTTATTGAGAGCAGTAAAGTGACACTGATATCAACATACCTAATGTTAATACAACAACAAAAAACAACAACAGATTAAAGCTAGTGATACTGTACCACATACACATGAGAACTCTCACTATAATCAACTTAATGTACAAACGCAAACTATTCACAAAACAAAACTGGCAAATCAAGCAATGAACAGTTCTTGAAAAGACGAGCAACCCAAATATACTATCCATCAAAAGTTTAGACTCACTAGTGTAAATATAGCCACGTACTTCAGTCAACTGTTCTAAACTAGATTTTGCGAAATACTCCATACTGTTTAAAGGTACTGTTTACACATGAACTGAAGTATTGTAAAACAAATTCGTAACGTTGAAAAGATGATTGTCATGAGGTCAATAAATGATGACACTCAGTGAAATTTGGCGAATTCTTAACAAAACTTTACACCAAAACACAGCTGTACACATGCACGATATTTGCACATGCTTTCAGCAATTTGATGCACGATCTCTGTGCAATTCATCTGCATAAGGTTTGCAGTTGGTTCCCCCAAGTTAGTGGAGAAATTCATCTTCAATGTAACCATATATAAATATATACATAACATATCGTGAGTGCTTGAAGTGAGTCTAAACTTTCGATGGGTAGTATACATAATACATTAACGTTTAAACTATGTTTAAAAATGTGTTTATTTGACAGTATATTCACAATTACCATGCACAAACTATTTTCCGATATTTTTTTCATTTCTTTCTCTCTTTTTTAGTCAAAGACCAAAATTAGGTGGTTTATCATGTTCGTAAGGCCTTGGCAAAAAACCCTGCCCCCTAATAACTTCCTCCTTTGATCAACATAATTCTGTCTCTGTTACGAAATTTAAAAATTCAAACGACAAATATGGCATATGTTCTACATTTTATATATAACTATTTGAACTCGGCAAATAGCTGACGCAGCTAATGTGGCAAGCGTACCAGGAAGCAAGGCGCCACACGACAGTGTCAGCACGGCTATATGCAGCTATCAACCAAGCTAATAGACTGGGCTGCCATACATAAGTAGATTAAACAACATCATGGCGAGAACGTACATAAACCAAAGCATATCAAACTTCCACAACCATTCCAAACTTTTCAGTGTGTTGGTGCATCTACTTCTCCTGTCAGGGCTTGAGCTTCAGCTGGCAGTGTCAGTGTCGGCACGCTTTCGCAGTAGAACATCACATGCCGTTGTGAGGGATTCACGAGCCTACATGTCACTGGCATGAGTTTGACAAAACTGTACCTGGTTCAAAATGGCAAGGTGGCACTGGAACCGTCTTTGAATTTCCGTAACCACCCGCCATTTTGTTCCTGGAGCCTCGCTATCATTACGAAATGCTTCGCGGAGCTGTCCAAGAGTCTCGCTTTCGCTGGTAGAGGCCTCGTTTCCGTTGAGGGATTGATTGGCATATTATGATACCAGATTTATCCCCGGTATAAAATGGCCGGCTTCTCCAACCTAGAAACTAACTGAATATGTTTTGGAGTACTGAATTCCTGGTGGCTTCCCGGCCATATAGGCGAGCAGTCCTGTGTCAGGACTAGTAGAGCGTGTGTTTTATTCGCCTAGGTGGTTTGAGATCCTGACGCTGCAGTATGATGGCCGAAGAAGCGGAGCGAGGGGATAGCCCTGGTGGCTCCCAGCACGATCTCGATGTTCAGCTAGGACATGGTCATTTCTTCACTAAGAAAACGTTTCACAAGCCAACCTACTGCCACCACTGCACGGATATGCTTTGGGGATTAATTGGGCAGGGGTATGTGTGTGAAGGTAAGCCAACATCAAGCTGTATCGGCCAGCTTTCCACGTTCACTGGCAGAGCCAAGCATTGCCATTACCTCATTAATTTATTACAAATCCGTTATCAATTTTAATAATATGTCGGCAACGTCTATCGCTTGCTTTCGCTGCAATTTTTGACAGTTATACACACTGTTTAATATGTAGCTTCTTCGGGACATGCTGAAATGATGTTCGTGTTCAGGAAAAGAGAGTGCAAGAGGGAAAGATGGAATGGTTTGACAGACTTACTGACTCGATCCTTCCTACCCTTTTACCGTAGAGCGGTTAGCCGGCTAGCTCCAAAGCTCAGCTAAATCCCTTATCGTAACTATCATTGCCAACGGATAAAAAATGATACATTTACTCATGGGTAGAGTGCATGATGTATTAAATGTGTTCATTGTGCTAACGGCAGGGAATGTGAGGTATAATTTCTATTACTGCCTCTTTGCCAAGCCATGGTAAACTATGGGATGTTGAGTGGAAGCAATGGCATATGTGATATATGCATGTGTGTATTGCAAAGGTGTGTACAGCCTCTCTCCAGTAGGATATTCCTCAATACATATACAGATCATTAGCTGAGGGATACTGTTGCAATTACATGCAAAGCTGTTTTAATTAATATATTCTGAGGGTGTGCATTGTACTGAATGTTATCTGCTGACTGACTGAATGGCTATATTGATAAACTTGTCACCTGTTGCCTACCCCATGGGGATTCCATGTTAAAATTACTCAAGGTAACCTATGCTCGTCATATTAATTTAATAGCTACTAAAAATGAACCAGCTTGTCAGACCTGGCAACTGGATTGATTGCTTGTGAACATGACCGGACATTGGGACATTGCTCATTATGTCAACCACTGGTTTGTTTGGTCCAGATTTACAGGCAGCACTGATATTTCGGAAATATACCTGACAGTGGCATTGAACAACATGCACTCATTTACTGTTAGAACTGAGTGACCTCAACTCACCTGGCACACACTTTCTGTTCTATATGTGAATAAAACATGGACTTTGAACCATTTGTGTCTTGTTTTACTATCAAATTGTTTTTGTTGACCAATTTGTTTAATAGAATATGCATTTGTTAATAATAAATGAATGAAAATAATGTATTGATATCTGTCAACCAATGAAAAAGAATATTTGTTTTGCTTACATAAGGGAATGTTTTTCACAGTTTTAAGTTGTTATTCGCGTTTATTTTAAGAATAAGTGAGTATTTTCTAACGCTGCTTTTAGCAACATCACAATAGTGGGATACAAAAACATATATTTTAAGAATTAACAACAGTTTCCTGCCTAGTTTAGTAAGTCAAAAAATATTTTGAGGTGTTGACAATAATTTGATACTTTCAGAAACTTGTAGTTCTTTTACATTTGTTTATTATGATGTTACGTAATGAGAAAAAATGTAAATGCTGACCTTGATGTGTACAGAATGGAAGTTGATTGCATCCTCTAGTGCCTCTATTTGCCATTTTGTCTAGCATTAGGTAATAGTAACTTTGTGTCTGATGAAAGCCACTTTGTAATTTTCTCTCCTAATCTGTTATATGTATTCATTTTTTTATCTATTATCTTTTATCAACTTGTGTACTTAGTGCTGGCGATAAAACAATATGATAGTTGGTTATATATAGTAACAAATATGGCAAGTGAATTCTCAATGCTGACATTTTAAAATGTTTATGCTTTACAAGTGTTTAGTAAATTTGTGAGCTAGTTATAAAGTAGCCAAGTGGTTAAAGCATTTGTTCGTCATGCTAAACACCGGGGTTCGATTCCTCACATAGGTACAATGTGTGAAACCCATTTTGGGTGTTGATTGCCATGATATTGCTGTAATATTGTTAAAACCAGTGTAAAACCCAACTCACTGTAAATCATAAATGTGCTAATAACAGTATTTGCAATAGTAAACATGAGAACACCGAAACTTTACCCAGTCTAAGCAAAGACACTGGAAGGGGCTGACCAGTGGTCTGTTTCCATGGCAACAGGGTCTAAGCTATTTCTACTACTCTGTGAGAGTGGCCTAACAATGTGTCCCACCAGGTACCCATTCCATAGCGAGATATATTTCAAAGAAATATTATTGTTTCAAAAGATTACTAAATGTTGAGAAAAAAGTTTAATGCTGACTGTTATATTAAACAGTTAAGTTAATGTAAAGCTGGATACAAATTGTACAGAATAGGGAAAAGTAGTTAGGGGTGAAACGGTATACCGCGGTATTAGTAGAACCACGGTATTTTGCCTACGGTCCGGTATACCGTAAAGCAATCCAAAAATTCGGTATTTTCGGATTTCGTACAGTCAATTTCTTAACCTTTTTACACCTTTCTTAAAATGTCTAGAACTCCTTCGAATCGTTTTGTCAAAATCTATGCATTTCTTTGCCATATGTGAATTTTCTGCATTATGATCATATCTCGTATACTGTAAACCGGAAATATTCTGCGTCAGTTTATATTTTGCGAAAATTGCTTTTCTCTTTCCCGAACCGAAGGTCTTGTACCGCAATACGTGCCATACCATGGAAAGAGCATACCGTTTCACCCCTAAAAATAGTAAGAAAAGGGTAGAAGTGCATGCCCAAAAAAGACATTTTATTGCACAGACCTGCTGTTGGTGTAAATTACCAGGTTTGAAATTAGCTTAAGTCGACTAGTCTTAAGACTAGTGAAATCTTGAAACATCAGCAACATTGCCAGGACTATTATGTAGATGCTACAATGTAGAAGATCATTTACCCAGCAGACGAAACTAGATTTAGACTAGTGAAAATAAATAACAATATCTAACCCTGTTGTAAATACCTGCTTCTCTATTACCTCAACGCTAGACTAACGCTTAGTCTCTGAATATATGTAATTTTGATAGTAACAAACAAACCCATTTAAATTGAAAAGGAGCCCCAGGGAGACCAGAGATACAGACCTAAGGAAATCTAGACTTGCTTCATTTAGGGCTTTAGCATTGCAGAGAGTGCTTGGCAGCAGGGAAAATAATATTTTTCAGGGACTGTTAGACAGACTACCTTAACGCTACTGTATTTAGGTACACATAATGATATTTCATTGTTTTATCTGTCACTAAGTCTGTGGCATTGACACTTTGCCTTTAGTGAGACTACACAGTACACAAACCATCAATATTTAGCCAGTCAGCTGATTGTCACATTTCAGTGATGTGATGGGAAACAAGTACAGAAAGGAAGGAATAAGATGTTAATACTGGACAAATGTGTGGCCCAGGTGTCTCACATTATGAAATGAGAGCATTACAAACATTTTGAAAAAAGTTGTAAAACATTTGCTCAATATTGTAAGTTAAATGTTACTTTTACAATAGTAATGCCATTGTTTCAGGTAAATAGCACGATTTTAGCATCAGTCAAGGACAGTGGATGAACATTAAAATGTTAGTCTGTCTTGCAAAAATATGGCCTCAATTGCCAACTCTACATGCCCATTCAAACCTATTCTAGGTTTTCCTTCCAAAACATTGCTACAATATTACAGAAGTTATTGCCCATGATGAGTATAAGTGACTAATGGATCAGTCATCAGACTTTGTGATTGTGCTTCATTGTACCCAGTTTCTGGAGGTCCCTGCTGTGATATTGCTGGAATGTTCATAAAAGCAGCAGAAAACCTCACTCACTCACTGACTCCAAGATCATGTGATATTGCCCAGTCACATTATGCACTGGTTTGTCTCATCCTGATTAGATTCTTTGAGAGCGATGCCATGTAGCTATTTGATTTCAAACCTAAATTGTATATTTAATGATCGATAGGTTTGCCAGCACCATAATCATGCTCAGGTTGTCAACACAGTGGTAAATGTTCTACCATATGGAGCTGACATGTCCTCAATGAGCTGAAATACTGTTTAAAGCTGTACTAAATTTAGATTGTCATGTTTAGGTGCTTGTATGACATTTTGGTGTTGTAACATACAGCATAAGTGTGACCATAACCAATAGGTCAATACTACATTACTGTCCTCTCACCCGACACAGCTCTCAGGTGTCAACTGAATTTGAATAAATTAGCCCAGTAAGTAACCATGTTGACTGGCCTAAAACAAGTTTAACCTTCTTAGGCACGATACAGGAACAAGTACACCCTATCATGCTTGTTCCTGTTGCAGTCTACAGCAGTACAATATAAATATATGTGACACTGGCAACAGACCAGCCGATGTTTGAACTTGAATACATTTTGGAGCTGGGGTGCAACCTGCTTGTTTGGTGCAACTTAGTTTTCATGTCAACGTGCACGTGGTACGTTTTGAATAATGCTCTTGAGTCTTACTCCTATTTCATGGTAAACCTATTCAAGGCCAGCATTTATACAACCTCACTCACCTGCATTCCTTCATATGCCCTGAATATTTAATACCTGTATTTTTTATACAAGTTTGACATCTTTAAAAAATATGCCATTGAAATAACTAAGGTAGCAAGAGATAGAGGCAGTAGGGAATACGATCCAACCAATCAAATTACTACTCTTGGATTCAATGCTTTTCATGAAACACTGCCATGACCTGTGAAATTCAGACTGTGCTAAAAAAATCCTAAGTGGATCTGAACTTTTGGGGTGACTAAACAGACAATGTTACGTAATTTTTTATTTATTTTGTTTAAAAGAAACTAAAGAACAGCCAAACGTTTTCATGTGAGTGTTACCTTGTCATGACAAGTAAGTGTATTGTCATGAACACATTGGGTGTTCTTTGACATGACTATGTTTTTTTAGGAATGTTTTCATATGAATGTTTTCATGTCTGGACACATTCTCTAGTCATATGAAAAAATCTATATGTGACATGATGGTTTTACTGTAGTCATAGGGGAAAAAATCAAACTTCTTTTCCGTAGAAGCCGTAACATTTTCAGCGTTGTGTATGTGTGACAGTCACCCAAACCTTACACTAAGCTGTTTACTTTTTCAGTCTGCAACTTTGTTGTACATGATCGATGTCTACGAACTGTTGTGTCAGCTTGTTCAAGTATTGCTGCAAATCTTGTCAAGGTAAGTTGTATATTTGTTTAATGTTGCTCTTTATTAATGTATTCTATCATTTTGAATGAAACGTACTTACATGCTCAAATTTAGCATTTTCAATTTTCAACTGCTTGATTTCTGCGGGCAGTGTAAGACAGTTTGTTTGAGGCATATTGACAACTTGATTAGCTGGTGCGGCAGATGTTTTTGACGAGTCCTGCAGGTAGAGGTGAAACTGTGCACTCCTACCATGGTAAGGTACGTATAGCAGTACAAGGCCTTCGGTTCAGTCCGTTTTGGTTTGGTATTTGAGATAGGATCCTAAGGCAGACAATTGACAACAAGAGCCAAACCTTACAGAAATGCATAGATTTTGCCAAAATGATTCAATTTCTAGGTACTTTAAAAAGATTTAAAAAGGTTAATAAATGACAGTACAAAAAACAAAAATACTGAATCAGGGCTCCAGATAATTTTTCAACATCAGGAGTACGTACTCCTTATGTTTTCAATATAGGAGTACTGGAAAAAACTTAAGAGTACATTTAGAGTACTGAATGGAAATTAGTAATCAGTATTCTTGTGTTTCGTTTGGTATATGCACCACAACATTGCTTCTCTTGTGTAAACAGGTCAATAAACAATAAAACAATACTTTTTCATATAAATACGTCTGTAAATGATTCGTACACCATTGCTGTGGTGTGTATCTGCTATGTTTTCAAAATTATTTCCTATCGTATCGTGCATAATTTTTATACGTACATACGTCGATACGGCCCTTATCTGGAGCCCTGTGAATCTTAGGATTGCATTACGGTATACCAAACCGAAGGCAAAATACCGCAGTTCTACTAATACCGCAGTATACCATTTCACCCCTGTATGCACGTTCCCATGTCTTCCAATGGGCAAAATCTAAAACTGCTGGATGTCAGGAGGCCTCTCCAGTGCATTTTGGAACCATGTCTGATGTATTATTCAATAAAGACGCACTGCCTGGATAAATAAGCTGCTATGAAGAAGCTATTTGTTGCTATTTGAAAGACTGGTAAAAGTCACTATATATGTTTAGTGTACACTAGAAGAGCCTTGACCTTTATACCTGTTCAATTATTTCAATTTCGTTTCACTAAAGTTTCCTGTGAATATAATCTGAGAAAAAGAATATCAAAATTTACGAAAATGTTATCAGGACTGATTTGAGGATAATTTTCATGAACTGTTACCAAACCCAACCATGACCACCAAAAATAACAAACAAACAAACAAGAGATGCTCAAGTTCTTTCAGTTTTATTGTGCTTTGGTATTTGACATATTTTATGGTATTTAAGGTTTGCTCTTCCATGAAATAAGAAGTATAATTGATTTTACCTAAGTACACAATAGAGAAAGTCTCTGTGCCAAAACCAGGCCCAGCCCTGTATTTTAGCCTTAATTTACCACATTTAAATCTTTGATATGTATTTACATCAACTGATCTTCTACTCAACTCTGGCTTCGTACTAGTGGCACGAGTCACAGACTGAAATAATCAAACTGTGTTGGTTGCAACTCATCAGTCTATATATTGCATGTGCCTGCTGACCTTGGCTAAAGGTGATCACAACAGTAAACTACCTTGTCTGCAAAGGAAGTTTAAATTGTTCCCAAGGCTCATGAGGGAGATGGTTTTCCACAGAGGACTTGATGTTTGACCACCGGCTGCAGTGTATATCAGAGGACTTGATGTTTGACCACTGGCTGTAGTGTATATCAAAGGATTCGATGTTTGACCACTGGCTGTGGTGTATATCAGAAGACTTGATGTTTGACCACTGGCTGTGGTGTATATCAAAGGATTCGATGTTTGACCACAGACTGGTGTATGTCAGAAAACTTGATGTTTGACCACTGGATGTGGTGTATATCAAAGGATTCTATGTTTGACCACAGGCTGTGGTGTATATCAAAGGATTCGATGTTTGACCACTGGCTGTGATGTGTATCAGAAGACTTGATGTTTGACCACTGCCTGTGGTGTATGTTAGAGGACTTGATGGTTGACCACTGGCTGTGGTGTATATGAAAGGATTCGATGTTTGACCACAGACTGTGGTGTATGTCAGAAAACTTGATGTTTGACCACTGGCTGTGGTGTATATCAGAGGACTTGATGTCTGACCACAGGCTGTGGTGTATATCAAAGGATTCGATGTTTGACCACTGGCTGTGATGTGTATCAGAAGACTTGATGTTTGACCACTGGCTGTGGTGTATGTCAGAGGACTTAATGGTTGACCACTGGCTGTAGTGTATACCAAAGGACTTGATGTTTGACCACAGGCTGTGGTGTATATCAGAGGACTTGATGTTTGACCACTGGCTGTGGTGTATATCAAAGGATTCGATAATTGACCACTGGCTGCAATGTATATCAGAGGACTTGATGTTTGACCACAGGCTGCAGTGTATATCAAAGGATTCGATGTTTGACCACTGTCTGCAGTGTATATCATCAAAGGATTCGATGATTGACCACAGTCTGCAGTGTATATCAGAGGATTTGATGTTTGACCACTGGCTGCAGTGTATACCAAAGGACTTGATGTTTGACCACAGACTGTGGTGTATATCAGAGGACTTGATTTTTGACCACTGGCTGTGGTGTATATCAAAGGACTTGATGTTTGACCATGGGCTGCATTGTATATCAGAGGACTTGATGTTTCACCAGAGGTTGTGATGTATATCAGAAGACTTGATGTTTGACCACTGGCTGTGGTGTATATCAGAGGACTTGATGGTTGACCACTGGCTGTGGTGTATGTCAGAGAACTTGATGTTTGACCACTGGCTGTGATGTTTATCAAAGGATTCGATAATTGACCACTGGCTGCAGTGTATATCAGAAGACTCAATGTTTGACCACAGGCTGTGGTGTATATCAAAGGATTCGATGTTTGACCACTGGCTGCAGTGAATATCAAAGGATTCGATAATTGACCACTGGCTGCAGTGTATATCAGAGGACTTGATGTTTGACCACAGGCTGTGGTGTATATCAAAGGATTCGATGTTTGACCACTGGCTGTGGTGTATGTCAGAGGACTTGATGTTTGACCACAGGCTGTGGTGTATATCAAGGACTTGATGTTTGACCACTGGCTGTGGTGTATGTCAGAGGACTTGATGTTTGACCACAGGCTGCAGTGTATATCAGAGGACTTGATGTTTGACCACAGGCTGTGATGTATATCAAAGGACTTGATGTTTGACCACAGGCTGTGATGTATATCAAAGGACTTGATATTTGACCTGGTGTGACCAGCAGTGTATATCAGAAGACTTGATGTTTGACCACTGGTTACGGTGTATATCAAAGGACTTGATGTTTGACCACTACAGTGTATACCAAAGGACTTGATGTTTGACCGCCAGCAGTGTATATCAGGGGACTTGATGTTTGACCACTGGCTGTGGTGCATATCAAAGGATTCGATGTTTGACCACAGGCTGTGGTGTATATCAAAGGATTCAATGTTTGACCACAGGCTGTGGTGTATATCAAAGGATTTAATGTTTGACCACAGGCTGTGGTGTATGTCAAAGGATTCGATGTTTGACCACAGGCTGTGGTCTATGCCACAGGACTTGATGTTTGACCACCAGCAGTGTATATCAAAGGATTTGATGTTTGACCACAGGCTGCAGTGTATATCAGAGGACTTGATGTTTGACCACTGGCTGCAGTGTATATCAAAGGACTTGATGTTTGACCACTGCCTGCAGTGTATACCAAAGGACTTGATGTTTGACCACAGGCTGTGATGTATATCAAAGGACTTGATATTTGACCTGGTGTGACCAGCAGTGTATATCAGAAGACTTGATGTTTGACCACAGGCTGCAGTGTATATCAGAGAACTTGATGTTTGACCACTGGTTAGTGTATATCAAAGGACTTGATGTTTGACCACTTGCTACAATGTATACCAAAGGACTTGTTGTTTGACCGCCAGCAGTGTATATCAGAGGACTTGATGTTTGACCACTGGCTGTGGTGTATATCAAAGGATTCGATGTTTGACCACAGGCTGTGGTGTATATCAAAGGATTCGATGTTGGACCACAGGCTGTGGTGTATATCAAAGGATTTGATGTTTGACCACAGGCTGTGGTGTATGTCAAGGCTGGATTCGATGTTTGACCACAGGCCAGCAGTGTATATCAAAGGATTTGATGTTTGACCACTGGCTGCAGTGTATCAAAAGGACTTGATGTTTGACCACAGGCTACAGAAGACTGTATACCAAAGGATATGTTTGATGTTTGACCACTGGTTAGTGTATATCAGGACTTGATGTTTGACCACTTGCTACAATGTTACCAAAGGACTTGATGTTTGACCACAGGCTGTTTGACCACTGTGGTATATCAAAGGATTCGATGTTTGACCACAGGCTGTGGTGTATATCAAAGGATTCGATGTTGTTTGACCAAAGTTTGCTGTTTGACCACAGGCTGTGTGTATGTCAAAGGATTCGATGTTTGACCACAGGCTGTGGTCTATGCCACAGGACTTGAAGTTTGACCACCAGCAGTGTATATCAAAGGATTCTATGTTTGACCACAGGCTGTGGTGTATGTCAGGGGACTTGATGACTTGATGTTTGACCACTTGATGTTTGACCACAGGCTGTGATGTATATCAGAGGACTTGATGTTTGACCACAGGCTGTGGTGTATATCAAAGGATTCGATGTTTGACCACTGGCTGCAGTGTATATCAAAGGATTCGATGTTTGACCACTGGCTACAGTGTAAACCAAAGGACTTGATCTTTGACCACAGGCTGTGATGTATATCAAAGGACTTGATGTTTGACCACAGGCTGCAGTGTATACCAAAGGACTTGATGTTTGACCACTGGCTGCAGTGTATACCAAAGGACTTGATGTTTGACCTGTGGCGTGACCAACAGTGTATGTCAGAGAACTTGATGTTTGACCACAGGCCGCAGTGTATATCAAAGGACTTGGTGTA